CGGGGGGCGCCAAATATGCACCTGGACAGAAAATGGCAATAACGTTTATGTGGTATGCTAACGCATCCCTTAGACTGCTCTACCACTTAACCCCCTATATTTTTCGAAAAAAAAAAACGCGACGCTCTCTAGACGAATTATTTTGTTCTGGCGCTTTTATGCACACGTTTTTTTTTCGCCTGTCGCGGCACATAAGAAACAATTGGTATAGAGAACGACACGACAGGCGACAAAAAACGTGTGCATAAAAACGTTTATCGCGGGTTTTATATCACCTGTATTTAATTTCCACTTTCCACATTCTGACATTTTTATTTTTGCTATTTCCGCATTTAGCATAGATTTCAATTTCACAAATAGCACAGTCAATCTGGCACAAATTTGTGGAAAAAAATACCTTATAACTTTTTTTTTGCATAAATCGTTCAAGTTGCCTTAGAAAAGCTTAACTCCAAAAATCCGGGATGGTTCCGTGGGGCAATTTTGAGAAAATTGAAAAAGTTTTTGGATCCGATTTATCTCGAAAACGATCAGTTTTTCAAAAAAATTTGTTGAACAAAAAATGTCGTGGACATTGTTATCTACAACTTTTGTCATTAAGCGGGTGCTCTAACATGAAAAATGAATGAAATAGATGGCGCCAAAGTCACCAAAAAACGGTTTTTCTACTTTTTTCCTCACAATTGCAAATGAAAAAGTTATTGGCCGTGAAAAAACCTACAAAATGCATATACACTTTTTTTACGTACAATGGACCGTTAAGTTACAGTGGGAATGATTTAAAATATTGTATTGTAGTTGTAGAAGTTAAATGGAGTTGTGCGTTACCCTATGCGTTAAGTAATGGAAAAAGTTCATGAAGAATTTAAAAATAAAAGAAATAATAAGTAAACATATTTTTTCTATTTCGGTGTCACAATGATGATTTTGTACAACTGTTTTCAGTGAAAACAGTTGTACAAAGACAGTGATTATAGTCGTTTTTTTTTGGTAACTCATCTCTTAAGTTGGCAGTTACTAGTTAGTATAAGTAGATACTTCGTTGGGTACTTCCATGTTTGAACTTCAAAATGTCAGTCTACGCTGCCAACCTAAAACTTAACGGCATAAAAAGTGTTCCCAACATAAAACATGTTAGTTCTAATGTTCCCTATAGTTTCTGATATTGATTTTTTTTAAATTAAATTAAAGCACCGAAATAGAAAAAATAGTATGAAAAATGCGTGTTACAATACTTTATTGTAATACTCCTATCTTGCGGACACTCGTGGCTACGCTTCGCGTCGCCACTCGTGCCACAAGATAGTCGTATTACAATAGGTCGCATTGTAACACTTGTCTTTCAATATACTATTTTTTTAACTCAATAAGACAAGACCGAGGACAAGAATATCATTTATTGATCATACAAAATCGAAGAAAAACCAATTTTTTCTATTTCGATGTTGAAACAATACCGAAACCGTACTTGATTGGCCCAGTTTGCGTGCGTTTCTAGACAGAAATGATGCCGAAAGAAATAGAAACGCATTATTTTTTTATTTTGTTGGATTGGTACCCCTCGCTTTTTTGCTGTCAACGGTATCCGTCAAATCAAAACTAAACATAACCTGTAAAGTGTAAATAACGTACGAGGAACTTGACCGATTGTATTAATTCCGATTAATTTTGAATATATACTCCAAAGGGTAGAACTTTTTTTATTTTTACTTAGCGTAGTAAAATATGCCAGCAGTACATTCTTGCTTACTTTTTGAACTCCCCTTCTCGGCCAGCCAGTTTTCAAAAATGTTGTACTCCTCGTACTTTACTTTCGATTTTACAGGCAGTAAATTTAACGTCGCTTCATTGGCAATCTCTTGGATCTCTGGTGCGGTACAAGAGACGTGTTTGTCATCCGTATTCATCATAACTGCCGCAAAATGGAATTATGACCAAATAATTAAAAGTTTGAAGTTTGAAAATACAGGAATCAGGTTAGCCAACGTGAAAATAAATGAACTGTGTCTATTACCAACATACACTGAATGATAGTTTAAAATTACCTAACAACGCCTAAAGGCAATATTTATAATTTGTATAATTTATTATTTAAAATAAAAGTCGAAATAGAAAAAATAGTATAAAGCACACGTGTCATTTGTCTACTTGTCGCACTCGGCTTTTGCCGCATTCGCCGTATGCGGCAAACTACCTCGTGCGACAATCTTCGTCAAATGACACTTGTACTTTAATATACTATTATCAACGTGGCTGGTTTCTTTTCTGTCTTTGCTTTTTTTTCGGTGGCTGTTTCCACGATTTTACTCCAATATGGATGCTGTTGATGAACTTGACGTTGATCCTGCAACACTTGAGTCAGGCTCTTTATTTCTTGACATTGGAGTCTAGTGGACGACTTGAGAAGGGTAGCTCAAGTCAACATCTTGAACGGCATCATTTTTCATGTCAACGTTTGGAAGAAAAATACATTACCTTTCAAACACTGAAGATTTTCGTCTGTGTTCGGCGAACAGCTTGTAACATCTGCCATGAACTTCGAGATCAGTACCTACTATTATTTTCAATCACTTTACTGTTGATTTCATCACCTTGAATTTTGCATGCCTTCACCAACAACTGCCGGCCAATCGAACCCACACGTTGCTTATCTTCGACATTTTTTTTTGCAAATAAAACAGATACTTGGCGCATAGAAAAACCTCCTATTGTAACTGCAACGTTATAGAAATTCCGAGAGAAATTACACAATCACAGTCTTTGTCGCGCTACAACTGCGAAACTATTCATTTTACGTAAAAAAGTGTATATGCATTTTGTAGGTTTTTTCACGGCCAATAGCTTTTACATTTGCAATTGCGAGGGAAAAAAAATTTTTTCGGTGAAAAAGTAGAAAAACCGTTTTTTAGTAACTTTGGTGCCATCATTTTTCACGTTACGAGCATCCGCTCAATGACAAAAGTTGTAGACAATAATGTCCACAACATTTTTTGTTCAATGAAATTTTTTCAAAAACTCACCGTTTTCGAGATAAATCGAATCCAAAAACTTTTTGAGTTTTCTCAAAATTGCCCCACGGTACCATCCCGGATTTTTACAGTTAAGCTTTTCTAAGGTAACTTTGATTTATGCAAAAAAAAAGTTATAAGGTATTTTTTTTCCAAAAACGACACTTTTTCGTGCCAGATTTACTGTACTAAAAATAAAAGAACTAAAGAAGTCCGCCTGATAATAAAAAAGAACACCGACAAATACTGCCGACAATAAAATCTCTTATTCGCGATTGTCTTATCTCTTCTCATACAGTCAATGTACCTAATTGCTAATCAAAGACCTACCATTTTACGAACTCGACAAAGATCGAGACAAAGATGTAAAATATAAATTCCGAGGTAAATTCCCAACGTGTGTCTAGTATTCTACACAAATTATTCGCCAATTGCATAAAAAATCATTATTTATTTACACTGACGTTGACGAGCTGTCTGTGGGAAAGTAGTAGATGATAGGGGTAAAAACACAACGTTTCACTAACAAGGTAAAAACTACCTCTTAGATATTTTTAGGTAGAATCCAGTGGCGTAAGTAATAAAAAAAATTTTTGGACCCTAAGTAGTTTCTGAAATTTGACCCAAAGTTCGTATTTTTCAAAAGCACCACCCTATATCTCACCCTGTAAATTCTAACGTCAATATTGTTGTTTATTTTGTTTCCTAACTACATTGAGGTATCACAACCCATTTTTTTCAATTTTAGCCGTGAAAATCAATAAAAACATTTTTACTGTTTTTAAATAAAAATAAATAGTGGGCCATGGAGATTTTGTTTTGTTTATTGTATCCATAGTAATAAAGGCAGACGATACCAACCAATAAAAATGCCTTAAGCTAAAACATCTCACTTCAAAATTTTGAAAAATATGATATAATATAATATACAGGGTGTTGCTAAATATATTGTACATAGGGAAGGGGCTACTTCTTTGACTTATTTTATGACTAAAAGTTCATACAAACATAGGTCCGCAAACGCTTCGTTACCGATCTAGGTACAGGGTGTTATAATTTCAGATCTGAAAGTTCGTCTTTTTTTGGATTTTGAACCATTTTTGAGTTTTTTAAACCCTTTTTTAATTACTTGAGAATTTTTTTAATATCATGCATGATGATATTTTTGAAAATAGGTTTTAATATGCTATCTATTCCATTAAAAAAAATTAGATTACCTCAGCTAATTTTTTAGAGCACCCTGTAACTTATTTAAAGCGGAAAGGAAAGCGGCACATAATCAACCATCATTATAAAAAGACCCTTAAGAAATTGTCAATTTTTTATTTTCCCTCGCTTTCTCAAATTTTCAAATTTTAATTTTACCATTTTAAGTTGTCCCACAAAACCGAGCACAAAACGATTATATGGATGTTGAAAATGCGAACCTCTGTATAGACTCCACTATTAATTTAGGGCTGGTTTCCGTGAGCAACAAATTTTTAAGTATGGTAACAAATTAGTTTCAATTTTTAGCGCATTTTTTAAGTTTCTTTTACATGCGACAACCAATTCGTGTCAGACATTGCCTATTTCCTAAAAATTACCTGTTGTTTTTAAACCTTTTTTTTTTGATAATTTATAGGAGGTATCACATGACAAATGTCACCTACGTATATTTCAAAAAGGAGACAGGATATTTCGAAAATAAGAGGAATTCATCAAAAATATTTTCAAGTTGGCTTTGGATACCGAAAGTTGACTGGTGATTAGGGGACTGTGTTGTTATTTTAATTAAAAATCAGGGTGTTCAAAAATTGAAATGCAAACAATCGTTCAACATACGTTTTTTAAATCAAAGCACCCTATTTTTACAAATGTCTTAACACAAGAAATTTGGGCAACTTCACATAGTCGTTTTTTCCAAAAATTTTCAGTTTTTTGAAAATTGACGATTCCCATTTTTTAAAATAATTTTTAACCAGACTGAAAAATACCGTTCCAATCAGAATTTCGGTTGCATCAAACAATTTAAATTTTTAAATATCGGACCTATACTTACATCGCAAGGTACTGTTGATGTGGGTTGCTATATGGCTGCATCTCGTCCGAGCTTTCCCCACCCGAACTGCTTAAGGTAGCTTCCGAATCGAGTTCGTTTTGTAACAAATTCACCTCCGCACACAAATGCCCGGTCACTCTTTGCATGTCAAGTTTATGTTCGGGAGTCCATTGAGGCACCACAAGCGCACCGACAACACCGGTACGGAAGGAATTTGGTTCGACCGAACCCGCACCAAAATACCTAGACATGTGCCGTCGTCCCAACGCATTCGCTTGAAGAGATGTCGACACCTCCAACTTTTTTATTATATTTTTGGCGGACATTAACGAAATAGGTTTCAATTTCTCCGAAATCTCGCCGGCGCCCGGGGGACTATCCTTACGTCGCATAGTTCGATGGACGTGTTCGAACACACCGGCGATCTCCTCGCTGGCATGCTGTCCAATTTGTTTCGCCTGCAATTTTCGCAACCTTCTCAAGGTGTATTCCAACTTCCTTTGAAGGGTGGTATGCTTTTTCTGTAAATTCGCTAACAACTCCTTCGCACCGGTCTCTTTTGTATCAGTTAATTGCTCTTCAATGCTGATACTCATCACATCAACGTCGTTAAGAAGCTCCTTTTCAAATGATGTTAAATTACTTGTCAAGTCCGTTGATAGTGGAAACACAGAATCCGTTTCAGAAGTAAGATCACTAGCAGATGCCCCCAACTTATCACTGTTCGATTCTATACACTTAATTACTTGCATGAACTCGTCCTGACCGATTTCCGCACAGGCAGTACCGTCCCCAGTTTCGAAATTATTCAACTGATCATCGTCGCTCGCCGAAGTTTTCTCTTTTATCATCGCAGATACAATATCTATACCAGCTTTTCGTAGACCCATTTTATCTTTTTGGTCGCCCATATGTAAGGGGGCACTACTCATTATATCACTATCCTTACACGTCGTACGATTACCTTTTAGTAATTCTGAAACTAAAGCTAAGGTATTGAGGTTATCATTTGCTAGTTCGTTAATCGAAGTTTTCTCGCACGAATCTCCCTCCAGAGATTGATAAACGTCAAGCACATCTCTGTTTGTATGCAAGGTGGTTGTGGGTTGCGTCGTCGGGCTGCTGGGGGGTATTTTAAAACTTTGCGACTGTGTGGTTTTCGTTAATGCCGGGGCCATCACCATGACATGGGGATGCCTCACCGAGGCTGTACTCAATCCCATTCATTCAGTGTTCAATCAATTCCACTTCTCATCACTTTTACACTGCGTAAAATGTAAAATTTAGTTAAGGAGCATTAACGATTTTGTGGGGATAAGTTAACCGCCGAAAAAATTTATAAAACAAGCCTTTGAACAGTTGACATAAAATGCTAGTTGTAAACAAAGTAACATTTTTAGCGTAAACGGTTAACGTGAGAATTTGGAAATTGATTACTTTCGATTTTAGTATACGGCGAAATTTGAACAGATCACTCCCACGTGACGAGTCCAAGCTTACGAAACGGAATACGGTGCAGATTCAGACACGCACCTTAAAAACATTGCACCACTCGAAGCACTTATTACAAAGAACTTCACTTACGTATAATATCCTCCTAAATCGCTAAAATAAGCACTCGATTTTCAAAAACGGTGTTATCTAAGATAAACAAATTGCGAGAGGTGAAGATTTTTTAAATAGGATACTACTCAACAATGGCGACTCGAGCTAGAACAGTTGAACAACGCATACCACCATTTCTACAATGAACAGTGCAAACGACGGCGGCGCTGAATAGACCAAACGCGTTACTAACACTTATCGACTACGCCATTCAATTACATTATTCAAACGTCCTGTAAACATTCAAACAATCGTAGAAACGTATTTTCACTACCGGTAAAATTTCCTCGATGCAAAACAACCACTACAAGCGCGACTTTTCGCCACTAGAGTGATTATTAAATTGTTGGCGGTGTTTAAATTATGACATCATTCAATTCCACTACGGACCTCTACCGGTTGCTTTTCCACTTTCACTAACGGCGCGTTTTTTGAAATGTCCCCATTTGGAAACAAGTTAAAACTAACCCTTCGTTAGTTATGGTTCCAAAACGTGGCAAATCCTCAACAGTGTCCTTCAAACGTCTGTCGGTCATTAAATTGTTTGATGCAACCAAAAGTTAAAATGTAAACATTACATTGTAATTGGTACACAAATTTACCCTCCACCAAAAAATTTTGCAACACAACATTCATTTCTATTATAATTCTTACTTCACTCCAACGTAAATGTACTCACCTGCAGAAAATCCCGAAGACGTTCCTTACTTGCAATGGCACACATTATTAAAAAGTTCTCAAAAGTCTATGCAACAATCCACCATTTCTTCTCCCTACTCCTCCACTTGTCATGTGCTGTTGGTCTGTTTGGAGCATGAATGAATTAGGTTAAAGTTTCAAATTTTGAAAATGTCACTAGAGCCTGCTGATTATTTGCAAATAACTTTTAATGTCGAGAGAGACTTGCAAAGTGTAAGTTTGTGAAGGCAAATTATCGGACTGTTGCAATTGCTTTTAGGACGACAGAAGAATTTTACCATTCGCCGATAGTCTGCTGTACAAAAGGAAAGTACTCGAGATAAGACGACTCACGACAGGTGTTGATGTTAAACGTACCTACGATGTTGCATTAGACTTGCAGGTAATTCGGCGAAGACTACTACTCAAACAAATTTGTTGATTTCAAATTTAGCTGCCCGAGGATTCCCATTTAATCAAAACATGGAGCGGATTGTTTTAGTAAATAATAGGTACTTGCAGGAAAAAGGCAAAACTTAGATCTTATGTTAATAAGTTAGGCTTAATTAATTATTCCTTGTCTCACAAACCTGAGCCTCTACGTGTCATTTTTATAGGTGCACAGAGCCAGACTGCTCCATTTTGGGCTATAGCAGCAAAAACCAGAGACTGTTGTGTATCTAAGTACCATAACCATATCTACCACTCACCAAAATTGTTGCACCCAAAAATCAAAATGCATATTCACTTGTGGAGTGTTCAAGTAAATCCTTTGGACATTTTCCTATCGAAGTGAGCTAATGCATAATGATTTTATATTTTGTATCATAATTCAGGTAGTTGATGGAGTCACATTAATCGCATGATTTTTCTTTGAGTCAAGTCTCAAGAGCTTTGTGCTACCAAATGCAAAAAGGACGACAATGTAAATGTTCATCAGTAGTCTAGTTACCGGCACAGACATACAGATGGACAGAAGAGGGGATTGCTAATAGAGCAAACTGAAAATGTGTGATTTGGAATTCCAGAATATATGAAACCATATATTCTGAGAATTTTGTCTCAAAAGTTTTAGGTAGACGTGATTATTTTAACAATTTGATACTTTTTCAATTTTATGATTCTATGTTGCACAAACCATTAGCCCACTTTAAAAGAAAGACATACTTTCTTTATCCATTAAGTCCGCATCCATCCATGTACAGTCATTTAGACTCTAAACCAAAAAATGTGCAGAATTCTTGTCAAAACAGCTTTCTAGCTTGGAAGAGTGTCTTCAAAAAGTGGTAAGGGAAAGGGAATTTCCCACGAAACTTTATTATTTTATGTAGAATAAGAATATTCAATAAAAAGTATAGAGGTTTCTATTTATAAATATTAAGTTGCCCTACACTTGACCCTTAAGGGATAGTTATGTGAGCATGTGGATAGCGTCATTAAATGGGCCCTTCCATATGAAGAATATTTTATGTAAATCATTAAAAATAATTTTGTTTTAGCCAGGATTTAAGTTTGAATTTATTCATAGACTCGAAATTTGTAATATATGCCGATATCCCGCTAGTTTCCGCAATAATTGACTGTCTCCAGATAAATGGACACCCTGTATATAGATTAATTGAGTGACATTCAAATTAAAATTACGCAGCTGGTAATCGCAAACTCACAAAGGAAATGACCGCTATACCCCAATTCGCACCTCGACCAAGAAAAACCCTTTAAAATTTAACATCTCCACAAATATGCCATTTTTCCCAACTATAATCCCGTAATATTTCAGGATGTCGATAAAGACTTTCAACCTGGTGACACGATCGCCATCCTCCCTGAAAATAATCATGATGAGGTTGCAGAACTTCTGCATCATCTCAACTTGTTGGCTGTAGCCGATGTTCCATACGTTGTTGAGATTCGTACTGGAACAACCAAAAAGAAGCCGATTATTCCACCACACATTCCCACCTGTGGAACATTGCGGGATCTTTTCAGCAAAAGACTAGATTTGCGTGGTACACCAAAGAAGGTATTGTATCTCAATCTGACTTTCATGATGATTCAATTATTGCAGTTATTCCTGAAAATGCTACTAAGATTCACAACCGATTCACAAGAAATGGCTCAGTTACAACAGTTATGCTCACCAAGTGGTTCAACGGAGTATAACAACTTTATACAAAACTGTGACAGTTTGCTACACTTACTGCAGTCATTTCCATCATGCAGGCCACCTGTTGAAAGGCTCCTAGAGCACCTGGGACCTTTACAGCCGAGACCGTACTCTATATCGTCTTCGCCTTTAATCAATAATTCCACATCTAAGCAACTACATTTTACTTTCTCCGTTATAGATTTAGAAAATAATCTTAAAGGGGTCTGCACAAGTTGGTTGGAGCGTTTCAGTAACAACCCAGAGAGAAGTTTAGATTTTTATTTTCGTCGTCCAAATAATTTTCGTTTACCCGAGGACATGTCGACGCCAATAATAATGATCGGTCCGGGTACTGGCGTCGCGCCGTTCATTGGTTTTTTGCAACATAGAGAACTGCTAAATTTGGACGTGGGTGCTGCATGGTTATTCTATGGATGCCGTTACGCTAGCAGAGATTTCCTCTACAAAAAAGAAATCGACCAGTTTTTACAAACTGGCATTTTAACTAGACTATCTTGTTGCTCGTCGAGGGATCAGACTGAAAAGGTGTACGTTCAGGATTTAATTAGGCAGCATAATGAGAGCTTTGTTAATAAAATTGTTAGAGAAAATGCTGTTGTTTATGTATGTGGTGACGCAAAAAATATGGTCAAACAAGTCAGTAGTACCATTGTGAATTGTTTGACGGATGTTATGAGTTGGTCTCAGTCTGACGCGGAAGGTTACATGAAACAATTGCAAAATACTAATCGTTATATTCAAGATGTATGGATTTAAATGTAAATAATTAAATGAAATAAACGTATGTGAATATATTTTTTCTTGTGGTCCCTACAATTTCGTTTGTTAGCTGATGTGCTGTACCTGTCTGCCTCATTACAAAACTTCTGTACCATTGCCGACCAGCTATATAAGCTGACCGATGATTGGTGCATAAACCAAGATCCGTAAGCAATCGGTAGGATTTTTGTCAAGTCTAATTTCTTATAGCAAGAAGTGCAGAAGTTATGGCTTTAGGCATTTATAGAATGTACGGACGGACATAAAAAATAAACAGCACAATTCCATCTCGGAAAAATATGCTAAAAATAATTACTAAAGTAGAGTTGGGAAAGATAAACACTGATCTGATCATCGTTGGAGCTCCAATTTGCACAGCAACAGCGTGTGGGAGGAGTGTGAATATTGATACCATTTACAGGAAATGAAAAGTTAAAATGTTGAACTTGAACATTCAGTGTACGAGCATAAATGACAACAAATTAAAAACTTCTAATATCACAGCCCTTCATATTGTTGTGTAAACAACGTCAAATTGGTTTGTTTCATTTGAATTTGTATCTCTCAAGTGTTGTTTTTCCTTTTAGAAATTTTGAAAATGCCAAATTCTTGTTCTTTTGTAATTTAGATAAGGTGTTAGAAGTAAAACGCATCTAATCAAATTTGCGTGCTTTATAAAAGGTTTTACCTTGAATATTGGAGAGGTGGACTTTTGCCGCATTCCGTCGTTGATTGGGGAGTTACTTGAAAATTTTTAAAGGAGTTTATGAAAGTGGTATTTCCTTATTAAATAGTGGAGGCAATGAGCATACGCGGCTGTTAGTTTTCGCGACGGTTGAAAAACGTGTACATCTGTTTACGCTAAATTACGGGCAGTTGGCCCTATTTGTTTTGTCGAATACGCGTTTTTTATAATAAATCTGTGCAGACGCAAGTTAACCAGGTGAAGAGTTGTCCGATTTACGGAACAAGTTTTGTTTTGTTAAAAGATTCTACTGCCCAAACAGCCTCAGAAAATCTGTTAATTTTATTCATCCAGCCAGTTGCGTTTGTCATCTAATTCTATGTCATAAATTAAAGTGAAAAGCTGTCAGCATTTGTGTTAGTTGAGTGTGCCTTATATCGCATAAATCTTGTATGACCAAATGAAAAAAACTGAAAGTAATTTTAAGACTTAGAGTATATCCAGCACAAGCGACCAATTGCAACTACCGACACTACTGGCGTACGCGGACGATATACTCGTAATCGCGGGTAAGTTATAGAAGACATTGAGGACTTCGTCCAAACCAGCGAGGTATGCCTGGAAATGGCCAACTCACACATAAACAACGAAAAGAGCTGCATGATGATAAGGGACCCAAGAAGCAACGCCCAGTACAAAGAAGGAGGCAAGATCGCAATAGCCGGGAAGGAGATAACTATGAAGCACAAGATTAAATATCTGGGAGCGTACATAAGCAGCACACTCAGCAGGCACAACACAGTGAAAGACAGAATAACCAACACATTCAGAATCACACATGGAATTCGGAACTTCATACGAGAGAAGAAAATACCACACAGCTTGAAAATGATGATTTAGGTACAACACGATCATAGCACCGACAATCTTATACGGAGTTAACACCTCAGCGCTAACAAGAAGTAACAGACTAACTTTGAGGAGGGCGGAGCGAAAGGCACTCAGGATACTGATGGAAAACAGCAACCTTACAAGAAAGCAGATAAGGGAATTAACATCGGAAACAAATGAACGCCCGAGAAGAAGCTATCATTAGAAAGCAGAGTTCCCTCTAAGGCAGAATACCAGTGGCGAAGCTGTGGCCGTACCCGTTCGGGTCGCATAACACCCAGTTAGCCGCCCCCCCACAACCCCCCCAATCCACAAACTCCACCACATTGTTTGGCATATGTCGCGGCCCAGCGCGATGGCAACAAAGTATAGTGATGAAACGTCCCTGATAGTGCCTACCAGGGACGCATCCTCACGACAGTTGACTAAATCCTGGGAGAGGCGGCGACGCCAGGCATATGTCAAAGTTTCAAGTTTCTTATTTTTGTCGACTGTCTGGTGTGAGGTAAAATGTCCAAACTAAGCTTTGTTAGCTTGTCGTTCTTTCAGGCATTTTGTTTTAATTTTGTGACATATTGTTTTGGAATACATTTATTTAATACTAGTTGGCCCGATGGACGTTGTCCTTTTTCTTAAAATCCTTCTTAAAATTATTTCAATAAATTCGCTGTGGCTAGCACAGGAACCACCCGCCCCACCTGCGCATGCGCGATTCTGCCCTTTTATGTCTAAGCAAAGAGTAACCATCTCTTTGGTCTAAGAATATGTGCAGCAAATTTGGTTTAAATCGGTTCAACCGTTTAGCCGGAAAAGAGATTTTGACACACTTGCCCCAAAATAATAATAAACGCACTTTTGGCAATTCAGAGCTAGTAACGTACCTTTTTTAGTTATGCCAAATTCCGTAATTTGAAAGCAATTATTGTATTTCTAGATATGAATAAAAAAATGTATAGAATCTGGCCCATTTCCGGAAACCAAAGAATGTAGTGGCTCTGGTGGCAGTGCCAATGGCGTCAAATTCACTTGGCCACTGGCGCGCAACATAATCGATTCCGGTAACTTCGTTTCGCGCTTCACTTTGCTCGTCAGTTTGACTTATGGCCGTTTGCACCGACAAATTTAAGTGGAGCTTAGCTTAAAATCCATGGCAACCATTGTCTCAATAATCATTGCCATGGATTTTAAGCTATGCTTAAGCTAAGCTCTTGCCGTAAGAACCGTCTACACAGTATTACAAAACTTTTAAAAAAAAGATGGATGAAATCGGTAAAGTCGTTCTAAAGTTATTCCGTGACCAGAAGAAACAGGGGTTCATTTTTATATATAGAGATAATTAAATAATTTAATACAATTAAATTTATTTTTGTGAGTAAATGCGGGTGCGAGTATCGCTGTAACTGGTAAAATTGTCTGTAGTTTAAGTAATTAACGGCCGGTTGCAGGAAAGCGAATTATAATCAAAATCCTACATTATTTGTCAAATCTGAGTTTAAACAAGAATTTTGACATTTGATTGGCTGCCTACAGCAATATAAAGCCAATCAAATGTCTTAATACCGGATTAAACAATAATCCTGAATTTTTTTGTGCAACTAGCCGTAAGCATTGAATAAAAATTAATTTTTTATTCAATGCCGTAAGTATATTGAAGACAGTTTTTTGTATAAATTCTGAAAGTGCACTTTTAGTAGTCTAAATAAAAGGCTCAACGAAGTTTGTCTTTCACTTTTAAGTGATTTTTATTACAGGAAACATTTTCTGATTTGTTGTGCGACTTAATTCAAATCAGTGTAGAATAAAAAACTCAAAAATTCAAAGTCTGTTGCATAAAAGTATAAGCTTTTAAAAAACCTGTACAAATTTTGTAAATTACAAGCAAAAAAGAAAGAAATTTAAGATCTTGCCAAGTTTTTTCAAAATTTGCAGTTCTGTTCAAACAAGCAAGTAAATACCCTTTTCTGGCGAAGCACAAATAAAATGAGTAGAATTAAATTCAAATTTGTGACTAATCGTTTCTACAGACCACAATACCCAATAAGATTTAATTAATTGTAGTAAACTATGGAGTAACAGTAGAATTAGTACTGATCAAATAATATATTTTACCCTTTGGGCCAAATAAAATTATATACATAATTTACAAAAAGCTTTACAGTATATATCATACATCATTGTATCCAAAAATATTTTTTTCATAAATATAGTCATCCCTAACTATACTATATTACAAAAATGGTGTACCATCTCATAAATTGCTGGAAAAAATATAAATGCATAAGGACCAAGGAATGATTGTAACCAGTTACATGCAACACTTATGATCTACATAAACATTTACCTGTAACATAACAAAGTCCTCATTGATTGATGACATCCTTAAATGTAAATGGTTGAATTAGACAATACAATTTGGGCTTGGCTTGGAATTAAAATGACCTAAGTACCATATGAAACGTTCAGTACATCATATTGATATTGTCACATTTAAATATTGCGTAATTTCATCGTTGGAATCTAAGTTTCAAAATTGTCCCAAATTATACTTGACTAATAGTCATAAAATATTAAAGCTTTTCTATCACAAATGGACCATTTTGAGAGAAAAGGTTTGTAACAGTATTACAGTAACCCCCTAAATTAATGTAGTCACAAGGCGCATTTTTTGGTCGACTTGAAGATACACAACTAACATCTTACTTACATTAACTTAACACTATTTCTGTAAAATGGACAATATAAAAAATGTCTATAAAAAATACTGTCTCAAAAAGGGTACACGGACAATTAACTTTCAGTCTTTCACAGTGTGGTTCTAAAAAACTGTTTATAGAGCACTACCTACATTTTTTGCAATACTTTCTTAGCAGCTTTGATTAGAGGAGTAAGCGTGGATAATTCCATCCGTACCTGTAGGAAAGGATGTCTTAAAAGCTCTTCGGCGGATGCCCTTTTATTCACATCTACTTGAAGACAATCGTCAATAAAACTTTGTAAAGTCAATGACAATTTCTTCCAACCGGGTATTTGTGGACGCCCATTGGCTGCAATGAGATATAGCGCCCTCAAAGGTGGCTCTTTTAAGTAAGGCGGTTCCCCTTCGATCATTTCTATCGCCATTATACCCAACGACCATATATCAACCTTTTTGCCATACTGCTTCCTTGTTACTACTTCGGGAGCCATCCAATAAGGTGTACCGACCATAGTTTGCCTTTGTTCATCACCAACAATATTGGCGCAGAATCCGAAATCCGTAACTTTCACTGATCCGTCCATACCCAGTAGGACATTATCAGATTTGATATCTCTGTGAATAGTACCACGGGTGTGTAAATATTGTATGGCTTGAAGCACCTCGTGGCAAACAGCTGCGATTTGGCCTTCTTTCATAATCGTCTCAGTGACAACATCAGTAAGTGGTCCCCCATCTAACAGCTCCATAACAACCCACAAATGGTCATCGTATACTAAGTAAGCTTCCAAGAAGTTGACCAAGTTTTTGTGCTTAAAATCCCTCAAAACTTTTATTTCTCCCAAGAGTAATTCTTTGCGCTGCTGCTTCGTCATATCAATATCTTTAATCGCGACCTGTTGTTTCGTCACGAGATCCGTCGCGACGAAAACAATTCCGGATGCTCCTGCTCCCAAATCTTTGTTGCTTCTGTTAAATCGCTCGTAAGGATCTTCGCTGCTACAAATCTTTTTCAATTCTTTTAGAATATTTTCATCCGAGAATTCGAATTCTTGAGTTTTACGCCGCATGATTGGACTTTCTTCTGGTATAAGGGTTAAGTCTTCCACGCCATTTGCCAAGTTCGTCGGTAGTTTACCAAACTTCTTTGGTGGTAATGAAGGGAGCGTTTCTGGCCTAATTTAACAAAAGAACAAAGATTCATTTTAGGTACAACACACAAAATGTTAATCAAAATCCCAAACTATGAAAACTAACTCTACTGCTATTCTAAATTTAAAAATTAAATTTTGCACTATAGAAAAAGTCAATTTCCTTTTTAAGGTGATGGTCAAGATTGTAGGGATTGCTAAAGGACTGTGGCAATTTTGTACATCGATTTTGGACATTGTGAACCAATTTGTCACCAGATTGTGTTGGATATTGCCAGAATTACTTAATAGGGATTGTACCTCTAGCAGCTTTCATGTAGACTGCACCTGACCACATCCTTATTGAACACACTACATGTTTTACAACAAAAAATACACTCACCTAGTCCCAAACTGTCCTAACTTTACATTAACAGGATCATTCAGCAAACATTCCCTACTCTGATGCGCCGCATCACTGTTCATATACAAATCGATCGCCTCCGATTCTTCATCTATATCTCTTTCCGTGACAATATGCTTGAACGGTTCGATTTCTTCCTTTTTTTTCATAGAATAATTGTAATACTTTATAGCGTGGATAAGGGCATCGGGATTCTTGTTTTGTTCCGCCTTCGTAAACAAATTTCCTATCTGCCGTTGCCATGCTAGTGGTAATCCTTCCAGTTGGCCCGTTTCTTTATTTTTAATTACGTGAATGTCGTGTATCACGTTAGTAGGATGGCCGATCACAGAAGGGCCGTTATCGTCCTTGTGGGTATTCCTTCGGAATATTTTTGAAATATTCATCCTCCCTGCTGTGATATTGCACGGGTTTCTTTGTTGAAAATGTACTTAGCACGTACTATTCATTTATGCTAATTTCGGAGAAACTGTTTCGTAGAGGACCCCCAAGTCGTAGGTTCACATTTTCAAGGTGTGGTTAATCAAAAAATTGTTATCTGTCAGTGTCAATCGTCACCGACCACAAGTCATGTCATTTAAATTTCCAAATTTGGTGACCCGAACCTGTACTCAACTTAAATTCCTAAATACCCTAGACAGTATACCAATACAGGGTGTCCCGGAACGAGAGTAACTTGCGTATTATTCATGCTTTCAGAAAATTGAGGTAATATTCCGAACAGAAAATTTAAAATTCGGATACGGTTAGGCGTTTAAAAAACTGTAATTTTAAACAAATAAACTAAGTCGTTAGTTCAAAGTTATTGGCGTGCTTGTTTTTCTAAAAATCGTCATAACTTCCTTATTTTAAAGATCATTGAAAGAAAAAATTTTCAAAACTATCTTTCAGCCCTCTAAAACATTTGTATTTGCAATTATTTTTTCAAATAACAAAATAGCGATTGATCAAAAAATCATTATTTGATAACCACCCTATCGATTTTTGAAAGTAAAACATTTATAAAATCTCTGCACTGGTTACTACAACATTTTTTTCAATCTATCCTACGAAAGAGGGGCCATTTTGGAAATTGGAATTGGGAAAATTTGAAAAGATGTTTAGGACAAATGTTGTAGTTTCAGTTTTTGACAATTTCCCAAATTTAAAAAAATATCAACATTTACTAGAAAATTCAATGTTATACTGAAGCCGTTTTTTGGCTTCTTATTTAATACGGGCTATAATTTTTTTTTCATCTAAAAGTATAGACAAACACGAAATAAATAAAATTGACGCCTCCAATGTATACTGTACGACCATGGAAGTAGATAAATACAATTAGGGTGGAACGCGGAAAACTTGATGAGATTAGAAAAGCGTTAATGAGACGTATAGTTTTGAAAGCCCCTTTTTTCTGTTCCAAGTAAATAGACCGTAAAAAAGTAATCACAATAGACGCAGTTCTTTTCATGTAGGTATCAGTTGTTTCCATTGCCCACTACACCGTGTTTGAAAAAGAAATATCATCAGAGCACTATGGAAGACACAAATTATTTAAAGGGAGAAGGCTCGCGCCCACCCTATGCTAATGTGCAGTTGCAGGTTAGAGGCTGAGAAAATTTGTAAAGTACAAGTGCGCCTGTGAAGGGATTATAGTGAGCAAGAAGTACTTCAAGGAGAGTAAGGAAACGCCAAGGTTGATATGAAACCGGTATGGAGGTGTGCTGCATGTGTAAAAGGCATTAATAAATTTGCAGCTATCAGAAAGGGAGGTTGAAGAGGACGTAGGGAAGGCATGCCGCAAAAAAATCACAATATACAAGGAAAGCATAAGAAAACTTCAAGGTTAATGTTTCCACCACACCTAGTCTTCTTCATACAACTGAATGAGTGATAGAGATGGGTTATATTTAAACATTAAAAATGTATCGGCAAATAATTATTTCACATATGAGAGGAGCCTAACAAGCTTGCACAAAAGCGCTCTAGACCACTAGCCACATCATCTGTTCCACATATGAATGTTTAAAGTTTTGTTGTAGACTTTCTTCTCAGAAGTTATCCTGCTTGCGTTGTATCTATACCACTTGTTTCATATTTCAGCTCAGCATTTCCTTGCTCTTTCAACGTACAGACTTTTTGTACAGGTAGCAGGAGTTAGTTTTCAGTGTGATTATTTCGAAATGTAGTCAACTATACTGTATTCATTTTAAGACGGTAGCTGTGGTAGAAAGCATAGGGAAACTTTGACTTTCAGTGTGATTGGTTAAAACGCGAGTCAGTATTACACTGAAACATAAAACCAGTAGCGAATTTTGCAAGCTGGTAGTTTCTGTTGCCAACTAAACTGTTGAAATGTCATTAGCTGTTAATGTCAAAGATTTATTTCTGTTTGCAGTGCTGGACATTTCTACTTTACAATAATTTGGGGCCGTTTTATATTTTTCCTGTGTGTGTTTATCTTCAAAGACAGCGCCATCTACTACCTTCTTATAATGAATGCAGTATAGTAAAGAAGTAAGCAGGACGATCAAACATAGCAAATCATCCACCCAAAAATCAAGTCCATCCAACTATGCATTTTCTCGTCCTTGTTGCATAATTATCCTTAGGAAGTTCAGGAAGAATCGTGACCTGTAAAAACAGTGCAATCATAAAATAAAAACTGAAAAGCAGTAAACCACCAACTTTTTCTCCTATGTAGCCACGTGTTGAGGAGTATTGCACAATGATTATATCTAATCACCTACTCACCGAGTGCTACAAGAGGTCATCGGCTGATGTGACTATTCTTTTTTAATTTTAGGTATGCAATCCAGCACCATAGTTTCGGACATCCAAAAATAAATGACGTGATTAATAATAATTTGTTTGTGTTCTATTTGTGGCTATCACACTGGAAGTATAAACATTATAAGATGCTAACTGTCAAAACATGTTAATGAGGATAAAATTATAATTACAAAAAAAAAAAACAAAAGTGTAAACTTAAGCATATCAATGACAGAATTTATAAATATATTTACAAATATGCTATTTACAAATTTTCCTTATTGTTGTAAAATGTTATGGTAATTTACAATACGCATAGTATTTATTAATGTACTTGTAAAATCCTCAAATCTAACAAATGAAATCTAACAATAACAAATATGTACAGGTATAAATAGAGGATACAGTTCAAATTTTTACAGTAATTAATTACACAAATAACATTTAAAATACAATATAATACAAGCATCTTCAAAAGAAAAAAAAAGCAATTTTGCATATAGCTAAAAATTTGGTACCTGAATATTTTAACTAATAATCGCATAGAAATAATGGACTTTTAGATAGGCAGTGTTCACCTAATAAATTAATGAGTTATCGGTGTCTAAATGATTCGGGAAGTATAAAACATCTTTTTCATATCACTAGCCACTTAATAAATTGATCAACAAATTGGGCACTCTGTTCTTGTGATAATAAACAAAGCCCCATAGAAAGTCGTTTAAATTTACTTGCTTCCGTCAATCACTATCAGACATTACCTTTTTCCTTTTTTTAGCTTGTTTCGGTTTTACAATTTCTTCTTCCTGCAAACAAAATACAAATCTTAACACATCATTCTTACATTTGAGCGGAATCTATAAAACAGAAAAGTTTCCATTATTCGACCAGTCCTATGCAACTGCAATAACTCACTATGAGATAAGAAGACAAACTAGTCTCCTGTCTTTACCTCTCATTAACAAAAATTCTTGAAAAAGATAAGCGTTCTGTCCTACTCACATTCTTCACAATATCTACTTATGCGTCATAAGTGTAAAATAACAATTACGTTATTTTTATCATGTTTATGATTTTAATACTGAAATTAAATTCTTATACCTTTGGGTCTTTGGATAGAATGTCACCACAATGTTTTGTATATATCACTTTCAACTTCTTTCAACATGTAATGCAAGCGTGTACACAACAAAACAAAAATTTGCTCTCGAATTTGCTGCACAAAAGATGACCTTTCTGAACTTTTTTATTACTTTATACTACAAGGCCCCGAAGTACCTTTTTGAAACTCACTACGGCTCTTAACATTTATTAAAGGCCAATAAAGTGTCTTTAAGGCTCTAAAAGGCTAAAAGATGTTGAGTGCTCTCAAACACTACAGTTTCCCAAATACCCCAATGATAGCCCTCGAGGTTTTTTCAAAACTTTTGCAGACTGAAGTCTCTTGAAAATTTAGAAAATCCTTGAGCACTCTTACACGGAAATAAACGCTCATGTACTTGAAAGCCTCTAGTTTTGCGAACAGGCGACTCGCGAGCGAACACATTTCTAAGAAGAATATTTCCAAAAATGTTGCTGAAAAGATTTCCAACTTATCTGAGGAGCCAGGGAATATTTCTAAGGGGCTTTTTGATATGTCTTCAAGGAATTAATCTTTTGGGAAATACCTTGGAAAATTCCAAGACTAGAAAATTCTCGAGAAAATGATTGAGGGCGTTTCTAAGACGGCCCTTCCTAGGCGGGAAAGATGATTTAGCAAGTTTGAGAAAATGTTCCTACCAAAATCGCTACAAAGACCTTGTTTTGCAAAATATTAGAGCAGAACGTGGATATGTATTTCTAGGTGAGATCCATAATACAATTATTACAGATCAACCGCTATGACAAATAGCAGAAAAATGACTCCAAACGTGTGTTAATTAAAAATTTATGCCAAATAAAACTTTTAAAAATGGGGGGAGGGGGGACACGTTTTACCCTTCATGGTATTCTAATGAAAGGTCTCAACGAAAGGAGAGTGCGTCCAATCTACTCGCGCTACTTCCACACACTTTTTGTTTTATTTAAATTTAAACATAGGAAACGCTTAATGAAAGACCCTTTATATTTAAAACCTAGCACCAAACTGTTTATGGCCTACTCCTGTTTATAGACATGTAGGTAATTAATAATTACTACTCGAATTACTATTCTTGTAAAGAATATTGAAGAGCACCATTGGAAAAAAACTAGTTATGACACTTTGAAATTTGGAAACTCTACTATTTTTTTGTGAACACCCTGTATCACTAAATTTAACTTTTTCATTACCAGTGTTTCCTTTTATTCAGATTAACATTATTGATCAAATGTATTTCTTAACTTTAAAATCAAGGTCGCTACGATTTATTAAAGTTGGGCTTGCTTATGGGCAATTATTAGGAAAAAAATTAATAACTTGGTAACATTGACAAAAAACCAAAAAGTGAATAGGTTTCCATGCAGAGGTTAAAAAATGACATCGAAACATCTAAAAATATACAGCGTGTTCCATTAAAAAATATCAGTTGATGACCGTAAAAATAGGACACCCTGTACATTTAAAAATAATTTCTGTAGATGCGCAACCATCTACAGGGTGTTTTTTTGGGAGCTTTAGTTAAATGTTTCATTAAATTGATGCCATTTTTTTTCGCATTTTCATTTTAGTAGTTGGCCATGATTTTATAACAATCGAATTTTAAACAATTCAAGGAAAGGATACTGTAATATCATTGATTCTAGTCTAAATAAGTCATTCATTAAGGATATAGGACGGAAAATTTTTGAGAAATCTAGACAGAGTCTTTCAACTGAATTTCTTAAACAACGTATAAGTCTGAAAATTCAGAGAGATAATGCGATATCTGTTCTAGCAACAATTCCATACAAAAAATGTTTCAACGAAGTTTTTTATATTTTACATTGAATTTATTTTGTTAATCTTGCATTTGCAATTCAATTCATTTTCTTAAATTTTCTCTTGTAGAGCTTTGTATCACTTGTGCTTCAACGGTTTGTCGTGCATTTCACCATAAATAACAATTAAATTCCAAAATAGGCTCGAAAATAGGTGAAACCACTGCGAGTCATTTTTCGATTTTTGAAAAACTTATGTTAACCTATAACAGTAGGTGACCGATTAGTGTCACTAGAATTGTTTAAAATTCAATTGTTATAAAATCATGGCCGACTACTAAAAAGAAAATTCGAAAAAAATAGTGTCAATTCAATAAAATGGGAATAAGTCAGAAACTGTTAAAGATGGCTATAGGAACATGTATTGTCAAAATATGCCCATTTCGATTCTTTATCTCATGCAATATTAAGAAAATGGTGATTCCATTTAAAAAAACTGAGTTTTTAGTCTTTGAAGTTTCATAAATTTGGATCTCCATAGGGGCGGTCTTACGCAACTTAACTTTTTTTTAAGTACCCTAAAAGAAAGCTGTATTCATTCTATATGCACTGATAAAAATAGGTTGCCATGACTACAACCGTTTTCAAGTAACCAATTATCAAGGTACCATCTGCATCCGCCATTTTTTTTCTTAAAGTCAAAATAACTTAAAAACCATAAATGGCAGATATCGACATATGGGGATCAAAAGAACTGAAATTTCACGTAGAATCCAAAAACCCAATAAAAAATTGGGATTGCTATTTAAAATAACGAAGTGACTATCTACTTCCGGTGTTTCCAGAAGTGCGGCCATTTTGAAAATATTTTACATCGATTCGGCCTTCAGCGTAACTACATACTAAGTACAAAATTTCAAAAACCTACCTATTTTACTTTCCCAGAAACGTTGAACTAAAACTCCCAAAAAAACACCTTGTATAGTTGACATTTGCACAAAAAGGTTTTGATATTTTTACCAGGCATGAGCTAGGAAAGACTGACGCCCTGTTGCAGGACCCTGTATATTTTTACGAAAAATGCAGTTTTGGAGATATCTGCGAAAAATAGTTTTTGGCAGCCATCTTGGTAAGATGGCAGCACCGGCGAGAAGTTTCGAATTTTGTAAATTTTAGTTTCACACACCCAAACCTACAAACCTACATAAGTTATTTCCAGGTAAACGTACTACCTGACATAAATACAATAAATAAACATATCACTTTTATAGAATACTTTGTATGAAAATTTCTTTAGGTTTTAAGGAAATATTAGACAATTTTGAGGAAATCTAGGGAGAATGTTAAGGAAATAAAAGGTTTCTATTGGGAAGTAAAGTTACTCATTTCACGTTCATTCGGAGAAATTTTGTGTAAATATGGGGAAATTTAAAACAATGCTAGAAATTTTGGGGAAATTAAGAGAAATGGTGGCAATTTTTAGACAGTGAAGAAAATCTTTGTCCCCTAAAATAAGTTGTGACCAACCCCTCATTTAATACATTGTTCCCTAAGCTCCATCTATTTTGATGCTATCGGCCGACTACAGTATGTCGACTCACCCTGTATACTTTTACCTGACAGATGATAACAAAATCATGATTTTATAAATAACCATTGAACTGTATACTAACTGGAATGGTGGCAGGGTTTACAAACGTATACACACGGTTGAGGTAGAGGCGCGAAAAAAGGACAGACTATAATGGTTCTGTGTATGATAAACAAAGATAGTAGTACTGTTGCGCCCTTTGCCCCTTTCCAATTAGTATAGAGTTCAGTGTATATAACGGTCTGTTCAGTTACCTACTACAACTAATTTCAGTACAAGTGAAAAATATCAGTTTTTCAGAACATTTTCAGAGGGTAAGAAGACATCCCTCAAGCGGGTCAATCAATAGAAATTTTTCTGCCTACAATTGCTGGGGTAACAAATATTTATTGGTTAAATTTACCTCGCTACTTTCATCCGAAGTGTCCGAAATATCTTTGGTCGGCGGCCGTTTTCCTTTCGTCGTGCCTTTTCTACCTCTACCTTGCGATCTGCTCTTACTAACCGTGGTATCCTCTTCCTCAACTAACGCGAACAACTCACTAAACTGTTTCCTTTGACTTTCGTTTCCGTTGGTTTGCGCTAACACAAGTCCTCGATGTAAAGAATCGACATTAAAAAAAGTTAAATTGTCATTAGCCTCGAACCGAATTCTAATTTGATCTAAATGTCCGAGCACCTGATCGGCGCTTGGCACTGTCGTGTTTAAACTTTTATTACTCGTACGTTTTCTTTTATTTGGCGACGTCGGATACCTTGTACTAAGTAAATTGAAAATGAGTTCACAAATTTTATCTAAGTAGTCCTCGCACCAATACTTAATTATCGTAAAAAGGAAACTATCGTCCTCGCGAACGTCTCTTGAAAATAAATATTTAACACTATCGGCAGAAGGTTGCTCTTGTTTGAGCATAAGCGTAACAGCCGTCAAGGCCTCCGAATGTTTATTACTGTCTATGTAAGGTAGTAAAGGTACAACAGTATCCAAAGCGATGTCGTGCGCATGAAGTAATTGCCATAGAAAACATTGCTCTATCGTCTCCCACAAGAGACTCGCTTTCAAAAGAGACTGTAAATTGTCCGTTTTGAACATATTAAGATTTCCTTGCAAGATAAGGAAGAGTAATACTTGGAGTTGCTTTGCGTCTATCACCGATACTATTACTTGTAATATTTGAGCATTGTTTACGGTTTGTTGTTTAAAATCCTTGTACAAATCAGGCACTAACCACATCATTAATTTATGATCCGTTAAATGGCATGTGTTCAAATCGTCGTACAAACAAACATCCAATTTCTTTTCTACACAGTGACAAAACTCTTTATAAACACTAATTTTTAACGAGTTATTTTTAGATTGATCTTCCTTCGACTGTTCCGTCCTTAACTGCACTTTTAAAAAGTACAACAACAAATATCCTAAATTTGGTAACACCCCGTACAACTCCGAGATTAACTTTAAGAGTATCTGTTTACCCGTATTATCGTGTTTACATAATTTATATAAAGTTCTGTACAAAACAAAAATTGGCAATTTAACACTTTCTAACAACGTCTCCTCGTTTACCACTTCCGGAAATATTTCGGCCTTAACGTCACCCTGAATCGCATTGCAGAGGCATTTGGTTAGGCTGGGAAACACGTCCGAATCGATGTCCAGGTCGAGAATATGCTCGATCAAGTTCTCCATAGCTTCGCACCTTTTCTCTTTGTCCTTCTCAGTCTGAATTCGAGATATGCATGCTTTAAACGGTCCCTCCAAAAGCAATTCCTCCGATTTTTCACTCTTCTCTTTTAACCTGTAATGGTAAAATAAATTAAGCGCGCGTGTCAGAATTGAGAAGTGAAAATTATAGGCGTAGTAGAAAGAATGGAATAGAGTTTAGAGAAAAAGCATTCTTGAAAACGACATACATAATGGGAAATTTTGTCCCCTATTATAAAGGTTCTGTTCAAAATTGCGAATTGTGGAAGACAATACAGAATCAGGAAGTCAATTTTTGATTGACCTTGACAAAATTGATGATGAAGACCTCATGAGAGATTTTAGATTAAAGAAGAGTTGCCAGCGGAATTTGACGCAAACATCTGCGATTGACGTCAAGCTCTCCCGATCTGTTAAATGTGCAATTTCTTCGGCTATTTCAACAAAAAAATCTACCTTTTCATACAGTTTTTTTGCAAATAACTCAAAAAGTAACTTGGTTTTTAAGCCATCAATTTCGAGTATCATTAATAGTTTTTGATTTATTTTGAAGAAAAGGCATTTTTTGCAAAATGTGATAATGCCCTTTTCACTTCAAGCTCAATTTTTTCAAACTAAGCATTTAAAATGTGACAAATCGCCAGTGTACAGTGTGGTTAAAATTCGGGATCACCATTGGGATCTGAGTGTAGGTTAAATGGGTGGGGGCAAAGTTTCCCCTTTTTGTAACCAAAAAAACGAAAAACGAAAAATGTCAAATTTCGTTGTTTTTCCCTAGCCCTAATGGTCGGAAATGGACGGTTCCCGTTAGCAGCTTCTATGGGCACTTTTTCAGAGAATCTAAATCTGTTATCAGACTTTCTATAATGTAGATGTAGACGCTAAAGATTACTACTTCCTAATTTCTGGACGCCATATTGGATTTTTACGCAATGAGTTAGAGGACAAAAAAGAAATTCATTTGAACGCATCGTCATTATAGCCATTCAGCAAGATCTAGTTATCCGTGGATGTTTTGTTGAGAAAAGAATGTACCTAAACCATTTGATTTTGATGTTTTTCTTGTAAAGTTAGACACATCTTAAAAATAATTTTTCTGTATAAATAATAAACGGATTTTTTGGAAAAAAATGTTGGAGCGTCGCAATGACACCGAACTTTTTTCAAATAGTAACACAAAATGTTTATTAAATTATTCGAAAGACCTTATTTTTCTATGTACAACTTGCGAAATTTGTGGCAGGTTTTATAACAAAAAAACTGAAAAAAAACGTGAAAGATAAAAAACTAACATATTTTTTTCGCCAAAACGGCTACTATGACTTCATTACGGATGTAAAACTGTCAAACACTTTAATATATGTGTTTTTAGCGCCGCGCCGTAACGTCATACAACTGTTTTTTTCAAGTAGTAACACAATTTTTTTATTAACGAGCGAAGTTTTCGAGTGTTTACTCATTCAAATACGAGGGAGCAACATTGCTGGACTGTAGAAAATAAATAAATTATTAGTAATAAACACAAAGGTAAATTAAGCCGCTTGTGAGCAAGAGGCAAGAGTGCACTTTAAAATTTGTTTTTTTCCATTTTAATAGTCCTTATGGACATTTCATGCCTTACCGAGAATATAAACATGAAATAATTTTTAATTTCTGATTGAATGACACCAATACCAAGTCTGTAAGTCGTGTAGTTGCGGAAGTGGGGCCTCCTAAAAATATAAAACACTAGGAATGTGATTCAAAAAAGAATTTAAAAAAGATTCAAATTTCAATATTAATGTTTTTTAAATTTTTTGAAAAATCTTTCAACCAAAATTGAATTTTTTTGAATTTCTTTATTGTTATAATTTTGGAAATAAAATTTAATGTTACCTTTTTAGAATAAAATATACAGGGTATTTCATTAAAGCACATAACATCCTATAGGTATTACTTTTTTGATACTTAGTACAAATTACCAAAGTGATGTGAAATATGACATGACGCGCAACGTATGGAACCAATATAATAATCTTTAATTTGGAAAATTGTAAATAACAATTACAGAAACGTCAAATCACAAACATAACATGTATATGTATATATGGAGAACATAAAATTAAATAATATAAATATAAAATTCAGTTATGGCCGTTTAACATATGTTTGTAAATGGCAAGCTTTTTTCAAGCCCTTTAAGCTCAAATCCTTTCAAAAATAAGGACCGAAAGAACATTAAATTTATATGAGCTTAGAGACCTACGAAATGGTTTTTTTGAACAACTTACAAGCTTAGCTACTTTTCGAGTTATTCGCGAAAAACCATCTGATGACGTCGGTTTTTTTTTGTTGAAATATTGACACTTTCACTCGCGAATAGGTTGAAATAGTTCAAGATCCCACATAAGGGCAATCTTCGCTCATATGTTTACAAAATGAAATACATTTTTTAGCAATTTTAATATGTAAAAAACACATTGCAAGTGGTTGCTTAAAAAAAGTACATCAAAACTACCCTTAATTTAATTAATATTTCTGTCTGCTTCTATCACATAGAGAGAGCGCATTCGCACTCTTACATTCGCTATCGCATTCGCATTATGCGGGTCACTCTGTAATTGGGCGCCTGCCTGTTGAGGGCCCAAAACAAGAGAGGGATAATAAAATAAAAAAAATATCTACACTACAAGCAGCTCTTACGCTACGTCCTTCTCTTTCACACAGAATACACGTCTCTCTCTCGCGCTACTACTACCGTACTGTTCCATGTGAAAGATAAGGACGCAGAGTGGTGTACGCATCGATGCAAGAGAGTGCGCACGCGCTCTCCCCATGTGATAGAAGCAGACTGAAATATGAATTACATTAATTTTAATTAAAGGTAATCTTGACTTAATTTTTTTAGGCAACCATTTCCATATCAAGATTGCTAAAAAATGTATTTCACTCGGTAAACACATGGGAGAAGGTTGACCTTATGTGGGATCTTTACTAAAATTTTACTTGCAGAAAAAACGTTGTAGAACAAAAGTGACTTAGAATTAGTGATACAACGGAAGCAGAAGCGGACACAGAAGACAAAGTATTTTTTGCGGAAACAAAAGCAGAATTATAACTTTGATAAAAACTAGAATAATTAGCCACAAAAATTTGGTTTATTAAACTAAACGATAATACGCACGAATTGTTACAACGAACTAATAAGATGAATGAAAGTAAACAAAAGACTAACAAATGCGAAGATCTGCCGCTGACAAACCCCACCCACGGCTGACGTCACGCGCCGTGCCGTTCGGCCAGTCAGAGCGCACCTTTGAATATTTAAATAATTCCGGTATTCCGTTTTAAAATATCGGAATCGGATACGAAAGTGGGCAGATATGCAGAACTTCCGCCCTTGCGGAAGCGGAAGCACAGATCTGTTGCATCAGTACATTTTTCACCCCCCAATCGCCAGTGTGTGTCATACATAGAAATACTGCTTTCACGTATAGTATAGTATAGACAAAATGCACCCTTTTTTGAAAGCATTTTTAGGGAAATTTGACACCTTTTCATAAAATATCTCTTCAAAATTCATGTAAAAGAAGAATATTTTTTTGAAGACTTTCTTAAACCTAACTATTTGCTTGGACATTTTTATTCTATATATATAGACTCACAGTGATTGAGGAATCCCACATAAGAAATCTTGTTAATTAAGCAGTTATTTATTTGAAATATTCCCCCCACCAGGGAGTGTATCACAAACCTGACTTTGGCTAGTGGAATATCATCGTCGTCTGTATCATCTTCGGGCGTATGAATTGTAATACTAATATCCTCCTCTTCGTCGCTAAAGGCGGGTTCCGAATCTAGAATGTGGTTATTGATGGTGTTGTTGAGCCGCCCGTCCTCCAGTTTGTCGTCGATTTTTGAAGACGATTCCATAGGTGGCGAATTGCAAAATTCCTTAAAGGTGTCTCGAACCATTACGCGTAGCTCACGATCTAATTTCGCATTGTCAAATAAAGGTAAAAGTGACGGTAAAACGCGCTTATCTAAAATTTGTCGTAACGATGAGTAAATCCCCGACCGGACCTTATCGCTTAAAGGTGGATAAAAATTCGTTATAATCCTACATAAGAAGTCTAGTAATGTCGCCGAAATTGCGGGATGCGATCGCATCGAGTGATGCATTACTAAAATAGCGGGCTCTATATTCATAATATTGTCTTTATCACTTTCGTAAAACAACCAGTCGTAAAATAAGGCTAGTTTCGCGTTCGGAATAGCGACAGGAGACGTGCAGGTGGCCAATAACCAACCGATAACGGCCCAACGTGGAATAATATCCGAACATAGCAGTTCGTTTGTCGGATGGATTACACCGACAATAAACCTAATCATATCACATCTTAAGCTTTGCGATTCCGGTGTCGATAAGTATTGCCTTTGAAACCACTCCTGATATCGTTTGTGATTTCCAAATCGAACTTGAGATGTTAGAAACACCAACTTCCTCTCCATTTCCGGAGTCAACCTCGACTGGAGAAATCTTCGCGAAGTCCTCGTCTGCAGAAGCTGCAGAATTCCATTAAAAGAAGGGCACAAAGTCTTAGGCGACAACAGCATGTCTTTCCACAACTGTTCAAATTCGGGGATCCGCGCGACGTTTTGCAATAGCCGAACTAAATCTCTACCGATAACCATACACTCGAAGAACTTCTCGCGTAATATGCCTATAAGAAAATTGACTTCCTTCTGTCGTAAGTTCGCAAGGAATGTGCCATTGTGATCCTCGAGTAGCCGCAAGTATGTGTAAACCACCGACGCTAACAAAACTGGAAACTTATCCAACCAACTTTTGTACTCGATATAGACGTCTAGTAACGAATCGATAAGCGCTATGTTCTTCGGGGAAACGTCACCTCCGGCGGCGTGCCGCATTAAATTCCAGCACAAATTGTCCACGTTCGAAACAGAATTTTTGATCAACTCACGCACGAGCCACAGCAACTGCGATTTGGCGACATCGTTAAATCGCAAATACCTGTCGAGCACAAGCTGAGACAAGTGCGTTAAAACTAATCCGAGACCGTCGCGCGTTATCAGCGTAAGGTCCCTATAGCACTTGACCGCGTTATTCGGTTCGGTTAAAATTGCAACTAAAAGTCCGAGAGAAACTTCTTCGTGTCCCTTTTCTTTTAAAAGTGCGTTATTGAGAACGTCGTGTGCATCTTTGTCACTCAATCCCGCGATTAAATTCTGAACGTACTGGTAACTTCGTTCAAATTTCTGAAAAATAAACAAACGATTAGAAAATTTGAATTGCGCGCGTAATCAGAACAAGCTGCAAACGAAAAGAAGAAGTAGGGGCGATTCACAATGGCCGCTGGTAGTACCATCATTTACAAATATTACGTTTTAAGACTTTTACCTCCTCTATATCGTCTTTATTTTCGACAGCAGACGTCACAAATAATCGGGATGACTGGATTTTCACCTGCTCCATGCTCATTTAATAGTAACACCGCTGCAAATTACGCACGATTGTCAAATACGGGAGTTCCATGCATTGTTCCGTTCTCAAGGAAAATGTTTAATGTGAAAAGCAAGCGCGCGTGATAGGTATATACGGGATGGTTGTGCGCGGATTACACCGACCGAATGAGCGAGCGGTAGATCGCCGCTGCTGGATGGATGTTTATCCATTTCCATTTATTTTACGAGTTCATTGTCAGTCATTCTATTTACTCGAATGTAAAAAAATTAGATTAACGTCATTTTTTTTTAAATTGCAACTTTTTTCGAACGACACGCTCACATTTTGTAAAGTACCCAAATGAAATAAAAAAATTTTTAAATTCATTTGAAACTTCTCGTAACTGGTAAACGACCGAACAGAACTTAAAACGCTTGAATATACACGACAACGTGCATTAATCAATCCACGCGTAATTTCATCTACAGCGTGGTCCTTTTAGAGACGCGTCCGTGCTACAGGGTGTCCCATTGAATAACGCCATTGCCCCAATAGGGAATATGCATGTATTTTTTTTCATTCTTTAATCGCTTTTTTAAATCGTTCTAACACAGTAAAAAGTGTCAACACTGTTAAAACAATTCAATTTAACTTGTAAAATAATATTTAAAACGTTGACTATTCGATGTGTTTGAACGTCGCCACATTTTCAGCGGGCCTTGGATGACGTCACAAGCCACGACCAGTATTTGATTAGTTTTAGTGTTCAGTTATTTAAACAGATTTTCAGTTGTAATAGCAATAGCTATTCAGACCATGGAAAAAGCTAAAAAACCATTTTTTAGGTATTGTCTTGTACCAAAGTGCAAAAACCACTATTACAAATATTCCCGCTAAAGTGTTTTTTGCAGTTCCAAGACGACGACTCCCAGAGCGTTCTCATTTTTTTTACAATAACTAATACTAAAATATCCTTTTTCAACAATTGTGCCGTTGATTCTTGCAAATCGACGGACTGTGCATTTTTTTTCCGAAGAATTTTCTTAGGTAACAAATGGAATCATTTTCAAAACACCACAAGAAATGTAAATCTATAGTAGAGGAATGGAAAGCTCTCGGAAAGAGTTCAGTACATTAATTAAACTACATCAAAATCCGATTAATACTTCACGAGCTTTTGACTTCGGATTTGTTTTCGAGGCAACCAACAATGATTTTGCAAATCGGATCGCATCGAACGATTCTTTAAAGCGTGAACTTTGAATTGAAAATGTATGATTATTATTAATTAGAGCGCCAAGGGCCTATTATAGTCGAGTTACCTTAATTATATTCCACAGTCCATCAATTTGCAAGAATCATCGGGACAATTTTTGGAAATGGTTGTCTTAGGATTCCACCATGACCATCTGTAAAAAGTTTAGCACGCTCTGGGAGTCACTCAATTTGAAAGACCAAGTATTGTTTTGTAAATTTGTTTATTTAATTATACAATAACTATAAAACCTACGGTGATCGGGTTTGTCATATTGTTTTGTTATCAAAAGAAGTGACCAAATACGAATTTTCAAAAAGATCGGATGAATTTTACTTAGTAATAACCAATTGATAATCTTCAGGATTGCTTTTTTATATTTTTCCATAATAAACAATAACATTTGAAAATGAACGTTTAATACCAACCGTATCTTATAGAAAATTCAATTCTAAACAAATTCATTTCTCTTCATTTTTTCCCTTAGAGCAATAGTTAACGAGATAATTGAAGTCAAATGCGAAAAGAAACGACATTTTGCCATTTTTTCTTCGGTTTGTGTTTATACATATAGTCCAGTCAAATTAGAAAAAATAAAAACATTAATCGGTAAAGATCTGAATTTTGGTATACATGTTTATTAGTGTTCCCCATTGAACATACTAAAGGTCCCCGTCAAAATCTGTTGCGCTCGAGGCGCCATCTTGGAAAAAAGGAGCACTTTTTCAGTTTCTTGCCTATATATCGGCAACAATTACTGATACGGAAAAATAGCTTAGATAAAAAATATAGGTTATTAAATTACCCATAAAAAAGCATATTACCATTTTTTTGTATGTCCAATACTTTAGCTATAATCCGACATCGAATAGGGAATAAAGTATCTTGAGCTCTCGAAACAGTCGTGCAGATATTTTTAAACAGCTCTATGACCTGTAAAGATTATGAATGAATGACAAATCATTAAATTTATTGAACATTCTTCTAGTATTTCTTATATATGCGAAAATCTTTCCAATTAAACTCGTTGCATTCCACAGCTTTTTTAAATATGTAGGTACTTATCAGTTTTACCCGGAAAATGTTTCAATGTTTTTCCAATGATCATCTGTAACGTTTTGATTACTACGTACTAAGTGTAGGTATAGCATTGTCTGAAACTCAATTATGTGGTGTGGAAGTGGTGGATCGGGGTTGGAATTTTCATCTTCAATGAGTGTGGACCGGGAGCCTTTAGTGTCCGAACAGTGTCAAGGAAATCGTGGACTCGCCTTCAACTACACAGTTCGGGAATTATTTTCATATCCACGCAATTTTTGAACTTGCTGATTAACACGAAACGTGTTTTGCTGCGCCGCTGCAGCCGTAGGGGGTAACAGTGGTAGATTCGGCAACCCTTGTACGCATATTTTCTGAAGGTCTGATAACGATGTCGAAGTCTCTCGCTAGCCAGCTCGTTATATGCAGATAAGGGCGTTCTCCAGCTTCAGAAGTAATTTCGTTGCTCCAACAATTTTAAACATTTTCGCTTACCTTTTTGGAAAAAAAAGATGATGTATCACACACAGTAATGCAATGTAATCCTTAATCCCTTCATGTGATTGCAAGATACCCAAGAAATATATTTTCGCTCAGTTCTTCCCTTTCGTGGTTTCTTGAAAAACATATTATTGTCCTGCGGGGCCAATGCAGTTAGTAGAACGAGGAGATCAATATCTGTGCCAACAATGACAATATTTTCAGCCAGAGATAATTCTATTCCGATCTTGACGATAAGGATACCATCATCATCTTCCGCTTGTATGAGCTCAGACCCTTCCATTTTTACCCAAAAGCTTGATTTGAGTTACTGTAGCATCGAACATTATGTCAGTGCTAGAATGCTTCTCGCACGATGATGCTGTTCATTTTTTGGTGCTGTTGCAGCTATTGGTGTAGTCATAAAAAACGGCCTCCTTCCTACAACTACGAAACGGAGCCTAAACGCGTTCTGACGTATTCAACGTCAGATTACAGCTAAAGTATTGGAGGTACAAAAAAATGTAAATACTCTTTTTTAAAGGAAATTTAGTAAACTTTATTTGTTATCTAAACTATTTCTTCGTATCAGTAATAGTTGCCGAGATATGGGCAAAAAACTGTAAAAGTGTACCGTTTTTCCAAGATGGCGGCTCGAGCGCAACAGATTTTGACGGGGACTTTTAGTATGAACACCACTCGAATCGCTTAAAGAGCAGCTTTATAGTAACGCGTGATGATCAGTTTTCATTCTTATCGCCGGTGACTAACTGTAAACCGTTATCGACATGGCGTTTTGATAACGATCTAGAAAATTCACGTCACTATTTCTTAATTCACGATACCTCTACTGTTTTTGTTACTACTGTGACTTCTGTTATAACACAGGTTCTTCGGTGCAGAAATTTTGGGATAAACTGAAGAAGTCAATGGAAACGTTTCTTGTCAATAAGGTTGAAAATCCAATACAATAAACCTCCATTAACTCAACCAATGAATAAAAACAATGGTAGGGTACCTGTGTAGTGTGTATTCTTATTGCAATTGGTAATGTGGGTTGCATACAGTAAGGCGTAACATAAAATTTTATAGCTGTTTAGAGGCGCCCAATGCACTGTATGCTGTAGGCGAACTTTTTAAGAGAAAGTATCATCAAGATGCATTTACCTGAGGAGGGAATACTCCGGTTGAGATTCTTCATTGGATACATGCCAGAAACCTTCGCGAGAGTGTACTCAATAACATCTCAGAGATTCATGGCAATTGGACGAAAGTTACCCTATATTAAAACCTAGAACACATAACGCTGCTTTTACAGTCAGAACTCAATTACCTCCAATAAGAAAGAAGATATGCGAGCCATCAAAGAAATAAGACTAAAACCATAGACTAGTGTAATTAGTCCATGCTAAAACTAAAAAACGCCCCCTAACGTCCACGTTTATGAAGCAGGTAAATTCAAATTGTGACTCGATTTCACATTCTCGCAAACGAAATTTTATATACTTTTTGAATATCAAACTGGCCACTATTTAATAAATGTGTACAGTGTAGAATGATGTACAGAGAAGATAAACAAACAGAGACACATCATTACAAAATGATAAGTGAAAACAGGTAATACAGAATTGAAAAGTTTAATTATAAACATTATTTTTTAATAGATACTGATATCAAATTATATTACAGCACATAATAAAACATCCGGAATGAATAAAAAAATATTTATAACAAAAACTAGGCTTTTCCTTTCTTATACCTTTGCCTGGCTTGAGATTTGCTGTATCTATGATTCGTAGTGGTTTTTGATTCAGTTTCGTCTTTCCCTGTGTCATCTGCTGGCATATTTTCTTCATCAACTGAAATCAGTCCTGAAAGATAAATCAAAATTTGTCGAAATGACTTACATAAATTAATAGGAACATCTACTAAGGCATTTCTCTGGCATTTGGTATAGTAACGAAGCGCTCTCGCAATTCCATACCCTATCATCGCAATTGTTATTGTCAGCAATGCCATTAAAATCGGATGCTGCAATTTTTAAATATTATGCGTTTGAGAGGATCTTTGCAAGTACCTTACCGTTAAAGTTGGCTTGTTTGTACACATGTAATCGGCAATTACAATTATAACACCCAAGACGATCCCAACTCCAGCGCCCACCCATGGAATTTGGCTATCTGCTACTTAGACAAATTTAATTAAAGTACTGCTGTGTATTATGGTTAAATTATTAATTTCCTTATAAATGCAATTACCGTTCTGGTCCTTCTTCTGCTCCTGTAGAGTTTTTGTCATTGCACTAATAATCACAGAATCATTTGGTTGCAACATTAAAGCTTTCTGATACGAATTAAAAGCGTCACTGTACTGATATGTCGCTAACTCAATTTCGCCTTTACGAAAGTAGCCCTTAAAAGTAGGGTGGCTTATTAAAATTGCATGAAAACCTTATACGGTTAAAGCCAACCTTTGCCCATGAAGGATTTAATCTAATAGTCTCATTTGCATCCTCCATCGCTAAATAATATTGATGAACCTTTAAGAATGCAAACGATCGGTTACTGTAGAGGGTAAAATTTGTTGGTTCCATTTTAAGAGCATAAGTGTAGTGTAAGATTGCCTCTTCATATTTTTTATTCCGAATTGCAGTGTTTCCTAATTCTTTCAGGCTTTCTACGGATTCCTGTTTAGAGAACGTTAGGATAATTATATGTTATGTTTTAATGCATTGTTTTGTACCTGTTCATTGTTTTCAGTCATATTTATTTTGTGTTAAATATTTATTAAAAAAATACTACATAACCCAACTTTGTAACTGAATTTTTGACAAGACCCACTGATGATTCTGTGGCTCTATAAACGCTAATCGCATGACGTGCTCATTATTAGTCATTGTATACAGTGTGTCCCTGGTAGAACGCACCATGGGGACAAAAAAATCTAATTTTTTGCGAAGGATCCTCGAGGCCTTTGAAATTAGTCGATGAAAAATGCAGGCCAATGAAACGCAATTATTTTAATGCGAGTGCATAAGGTTAATTTTATTATTCGGTGGATTTAGTAATATTTATAACGATATTCAATAAACCGCAGATAGAAATATACACAAAGTGTAAGTAAGGTATCAGTAACATTTTTTGAGTTTATGTGTACCTACATAATTTGAATTTCAGTTACCATAATGAAAAGATGTGGAACACATGCAATTAAACTTGCGCTGGGAGGTTTAATAAAGATCTTTTCTGCTGTTTCACCCTTATTCCGGATTGAATTTTCAATATACCCCTCTACCACCGACTTTTGTAATAGTCGAGAAATCCCCAAGAATCGAAGTTGATGATTATCCAAAACAGTGTTACATTTATCTGACGCCACCAAACAATTGTAATTATATTAAATGGGTCAACGCAAAAAAATTCCACCAATTTTAGTTATGTGTTATATTTTAATTACCACTGTGATCATCTAACAAAAAAAATTAATACAGCTATTTTTTTGATGTTACGATTGCGGAATAGTACATCAACAAAGATTGTCAAAACTGCATACTATGCTCTCATCCAAAGCATCCTCTTATATGCAATATTAGCATGGGGACGTACTTCACATTGGCAGTGCATGTTTAGATTGCAGCGCCGAGCCATCAGAATTATAGCTGGGTTGAAATACAGGGAGGATTGCAAGAAGGCTTTTATTGAACTGAACATTCTTACTTTTCCTTGCATGTTCATTTTCGAAGCGATTTGTTATGCTAAGCAGAACTTATCAATGGCAAAAAAACAATGTAACGTACACGATCACGATACTAGGCTTAAGCATAACATTCGAACTAAGTACTGCAGGTTGTCAAAAACACAGGATGGTGTAGTCCACCAATCTCAACTTCTGTACAACAGCCTCCCTAATAATATAAGATCTATGCCCATTGGAGCTCTTATGTCACGCCTCAAAACATGCTTTTTATTGTCAGGGAGAGTTCATGAAAAACTGTCATGCGATGTAATATGTAAAATTGTACTCTGTTATCCTCCTCTGTTAGTTAGTCTCTGAATGTATCTTTGTATTTTTGTTTGTAATATTTTTTTCCCAATGACGACCGTAAGTGTACCCACACGGATAACGGTATAATAAATATTATTATTATTAAACATTTTTAAGAAAGATGCAGAATTTTAAGTGAATAAAAAAGGGTCATGCCATTTAAACCAATGTTAGTGTCAAGCGGGAGCGGCGCAATTTTGAAAATGTTTTCATTTGATTGGAAAAGTAGCGTTACTATTATGTGAATTTTTAATAAGCTTATTTTGGACAGTTGCTCTGAGCTTGTAAATTTTTTCCCAATGTCATTATCTATCTCTGTCAGCTTCTGAAATCCTTATACCTACTAAACATTGGAAAAACTTGCTCTGTATAAAAAAATACATTTGAATCAGAATTAATGCAATGACATATCTTTTGATTGTGAGCCCGACTTAAATTGAATTGTGGTCCAGTATGGAGATACTCAACATATGGATAAAATTTCCACATTTCCAACATCTGCGAACATAACAAACAACATCCAAAAACAATCGAGAAAAAATATTTCCAATTTTCACATTTTTTTTCATTTAATCATTACTAAGAAGAAATTCAACCCCTTGTCCAACTTTAATATGGTTTGAATCTGGAAGTTGTAATATGGATTCTTCCAACTTTCCTTCACCTGTATCAAAAGTAGGAGAATTAAGACGGAATTTTATGTGAGGGTCAATATTACTTACGATGGACAAGTAAATCAAAATGGTTAAATGTCTTATTATTTGGCAGTGATAGGGCTCATGGTATGAAGTCACTAAAACTTTCTCTGAAAATAAAAGTGTGATTCGACAGAAAATTAGTGTATTATTCACAGTACCTTCTATCGCCAATTTTATAAAGTTAACACTCGATGTACAAAACTCTTTTTTATTTCAACATCCACAAATCCTAAAATCAAAATAAACTATTTTCAATTATATCTCAAAAACTAATTTATACAATTAAATTGAATGATAAAGAATTAAAACTTAAGATTGAAGCCACCGCCAACTGGTAATTTTCTATTATCCATTGCAGATGCATTGATGTGGAAACCACCATCGTCCTAAAATATTCAAAAGTTAATCAAAATACCAACAGGTGACCACTGTATCAGGCTGTACTTGGTAATTTCTAGTAAAGAATGTGGAAAAAATTAAGTTAGTTATAATTTAATCTTTCTAGATATAAGAAGTGGAACTACGGCTCCACTCTATTTTGAGCTATACTTTAAAAATGACACCCCAAAGTTCCATATAATTTTACTTTGCAATTTGGTCACAACACTTACACAAAAATTTAAGACAATTTAGCAAACTATTTCAAATTTCAATTATAAAAATAATGAATTATATTATTAGTTAAGTGGAAGGGCAGAAAACAATATTTCTTTTTTTTTTGGGAACTTTACCCTTGGTACATTTAGATATAGTAGTTTTTTTTCTGTAGGAACTATTGATTTTTTTGTATACCTAGCTATCTTTTATTCCTTACTTTTTTTGTGATTAGAGAATTATTATTATTAAGTAAGAATGAAAATTGTAATGCCTGCATTTTGTGGTCACCCTGTACACAAAGAAATTTTTCACCACTTTTTTAACATCATCGGGATGGATGCGCCCTATGTCGCTCTTAGTAGGCCACGATGGAAACGATGAGGGGTCCAAGGCTAAAGGAAATTCCTTAAAATAGGAATGGTTGAAGGCGTCTTCCGCATTTATGCGTTGGCTGGGATCGCAGGTCAAGAGTTGTTGCAGTAGCGCTTGTCCTTGTACGGAAAGCATATTAAACCGTTGACTTAATTTATTATTAGGATACTGAACTAACTTAATCCTCTGCACTGTCGGAAGCTTATTAAAACCTGGCCAAGTGTTTTTGTTTGGAGTACTAAGAAGCTAAAAACGACATATTTTACTCCCAATTGGCGATGTCAGTTTTACCTTAAATATCCTATTGAGTTCATCGATTTCCGATTTGCCCGGAAAGACCGGGTTCATAAGTGCAAGTTCGCCGAATATGCAACCGCAAGACCACACGTCGACAGAGGTGGAATACGGTTTAATGCCCAGTAATAATTCCGGGGCACGATACCAAAGTGTCACTACAATCGGCGTATACGGTTTAAGAGGCGAACCGTATTCTCTCGCCAAACCGAAATCGCCCACTTTTAAAAGTCCATTCTGCGACAACAGCAGATTGGATGTTTTTAAATCGCGATGTAAAATCCAATTGTCGTGTAGATAAGCAATGGCACACATTAACTGTTTAAGTAAGCATTTCACTTCCGCCGCGGTAAAGCTTTGCTTTTTACTTCGCATCACTTCAATTAACGATTTAAGATCATGCTCAAGATAATCCATAACTATGAATATTTTATCCATATTATTCCCGACCACAATCTCCCTAACGGTAACGATATTAGGATGCTGCCCTTTCAACAGAGTGTTTATTTCCCTTAAAGACGTAATCGGAAAACCCTCCTTTTCTTTCTCCATTTTTAGACGTTTCAATGCAACAATATCGTTATTATGTTTATCTCTGGCACGATACACGATACCGTACGTACCTTCGTTAATATGATTCAGTAATTGAAATTCATTCACCGATCTACAACCTTGAATCGCGGGGTAGTAAGGCGGGAGATCTTCCAATTCTTCCGTATTATCGTGAACTAGTACCTCTTGGTCTAAGGGCTCTATTAAATCATCCTCACTTTCCACCTCCTCTTGTAATTCGGGGCTAGCGTCTTTAGAGGAATATCCCAGATGATTCACTTGAGCAAAATGTTCTGCTTTAATGTTGTCAATTTTATTCGACTCCGCTTCGTTTTCTGAAGTTTCCGAGCCTGTGATTGTATCAGAGTTTCGTTCTTGAATCGAGGGCATCTCACCTGAAATACGAGATAGAATCCTTTACATCTATTATGGTAACGAACCTGTATTTAGCATTTGCACCTTGTTATATTCGTGCATTTCCCCTTGTTCGACAGTTTCGGTTTCCCAATTATCTGGTGGTTTATAGTCTATAATTGTTTTGAGCCTTTTATATTTGTGTAAATGAAATTCATCTTCAATTTCGATTGCTTTATTAGATAATTCTGTTAAATTGTTCGTCGCTTTTTCATACCTATGTTTGTTGTTAGAAGTACTACTTCTATGACGATGCCGATCCGTGTAACTATGTTGGTTACGGTACCTACCTCTATCTCTATGCAATTCCCTGTCATACTCATCATGCCTACGCTTTTGATGCTTGGACCTTTTATGGTGGGATTTCTCTTTTAAACTACTACTACTTTTATGGTAATGGTTTTCAGATTTTGAATGTGTATCGGATTTACTATTTCTATCCGGTGGACTGAAAATGCAAAATTAATAAGAAATTTAAGGAGCATCACCTAACCTCAACTTTTGAAGGCGAGACGAATACTCATCTTTTTTAGCCGATTTGTTGTATTCGTCGGCCTCACGTGCTGAATTATTATACGACATTATTGTTTTTCAGAAAATCCATCACTTTTAAATGAAAATTTAATAAAAATTTTCCATTTACGTTCATAAACACAATACACTAAACAGGGTTGCAACTTTAATGGTTATAAAAATATAAGATCCCTACTAAACGGATGTTGCCAACCTTTGAATATGACCAAATCTTAGACCATATAGTACATGGACTGCTAATTGTAACGAAAATATGGTCAAGGACATCGCCTGGGTATGTGAGTTTCAGGGTAAACGAGTCTGTCCGAAGTTGTGCGATTAGATACGATTTGAGACTGTCAAACCTATAAATTAACAAACGTCAATTAATTAATCGCCTAGATATGCCAACAAAGCAAACCTATCCGTATTTGTGGACGTATAGAAGATAATCAAGGGTATTTAAAGCTTCCCGTACTACGCGGTTCCCATAAAAGCTACTCTTTACGCGATCCGAGTGGTGTTCATACGGCGTTAGTTTACCCTGAGATTCACATACCCACGACTACAGTGCCCTCTATCCGTGACCACCCATTTTGTATTGAAAACATAGGGATAATAGCAGTCCATGTACTATATGGTCTAAGGACCAAATGCAAAAGACATTGGCGCCGACTACGTGGGGGCTAAGGGGCGCAAACACCGGTCGTATAGTATCTATCACGACTGGCTTAATATGACGTTATTTGTCGAAAATAGGGATTTAAACATATTTAAGATATACGCACCTACTCAACATCAAAACTCGTGTGAAAGTACACACCAATATCCGCGTTCCCTTCACAACACGGTTTCAAAGCTGGAGAGTAGTCCCCCTGGTAGGTACTGCTATTTAACTAATGTAAGGCTGCAATTACTTAAAAACGACTCGAAGGCTTCGTGGTAAGCGAATTCCAGAAGGTCCGTCTCTTTGACGGTCCCATGGTGATCATGTTCTTTGACGAAGGATTTCGCTGTTGGGAATCGAAAAAAGTCCGCTTGGGGCAAGTCGCCCGCTGTAGAGGGGTTGGAGAATCGTCGCAATGTCGTTTTGCGTCAAATAATCGGTCACCTTGGAGCAGGTGTGGCTGCGTGCATTGTTGTGATGCAGTTTTCAATTTCCAGCGTTGGCTGGTCTCACACGGTTAACCCTTGTCTTTATGTTTCGTAGCATTTCTATGTTAAAAGCGCCGTTAGCTGTCTACCTACTGACGACATATTCTCAGTTTATTCTGAATATTCTTTGTATATAATTCAAAAGTTATGGGCAAAAAACCAATTTCGACAAAAAATTCAAAGGGCTGTAACTTTTGACCTAGTAGTCCGATCTTGGAACTGTTTGAAATTATGGATTTTACAGGCCACATTCTATAAGAAAATATATTTTTCCGGTCGATGTGAGACAATTTTTTCTTCGGAGCAAAAAAAAGGCAGTGTATAACCTTCCTTTTTTTACCAAAAATCGACTGCACCAAAATTTCTCGGGAAAAAACTTTTTCTTATTAATTTGGGTGCGTAGAATCCAAAACGATTCGTACTTTTTCGATTAGACGTCTCAATAAAAAAATATAAGGTATATTATTTCAGATATGCTGAACGTAAACCTTCAGGAACGAATCCGTTTCTTCTCAATGTTCTTAAAGTATCGAGAAAAAGTTCCCAATACTTTTAATACAAACCCTGTATGTATAAAATTGAAGAAGCGTACCTACTAGAAGATACGCTTACCGCCTACCCATTATGGCTATGACATTAAATGTGATTCAACCGTAATCGTAGCTCTGCCGTTCTAGAGAAAAGACCTAGAATAGAAATGAACTAAATTCTTTTTGCCTGAATTAGTTGGAAATAAAAGTACAAAAAGTTAGGTAAGTTCCAAAATTACTTCAAGACTAACAAGACGAAGAAGTTACCAGAAGAATTTTCACCACGAACTTGAGAAAATCTTCAACACTTTGCAAGATATCAATACAAATTGACACCCCTCTTCGAGATAGAATTACCGAACTACCCTTTAATTTGATCAGATTTGAGGAACCGGCGATACAGTTTTGCAATAGGTAGGTAGGTTTCGAAGGCTTGATTAGTACTAACTAATAAGAAATGGCATGCTAAGCTAGAGCTCTAAGAATAAGTAGCTGCAAGTAGGTAATAATATACTTTGGTGTCTTTGATAAATAAGTGTTGGCGTCGTGTTTCAATTATTCGCCCAACATCCCTTCAAGATCATTTTTAGCGCCCTATTCGTTATGGCTGGCTGTCTGACTGGCTGGCTGGCTGTCCAGCTACGATCTCACAAATTACCATACCTGGAGACTTCAAATATTCACTAAAAGCTTCCTAATATAATACAGATGTGCAGGCTTTAGTCTATTTTGGGTTGGATTATCCGTGAGATCGATAATTTTACACTTTGCTAATAAAATACTGATCTGTGTTACCAAAAATGTGATTTCTTCATGCATATGCTGATTTACAAGTTTATTATTAAAATCATAATATTGTGCGTGCTTTGTCTTGCGGTTTTGAACGAGACTGAACCCTTGACAATTTTTAAGTACAATTTATGATCGTTTAAATAATTATCCTCCTAATTTGAGATACCTATTCGAGTCATGGCGGGACACGATTAACGCATGGATAAGAAGCTGAATCATTGTTAATATTTTCAGTCAGAGTACAACAAATTAATAAATACTTTTTAGAAACTTTTGTGTTATATTCGATGTGAAATAATATTTTATTATCATATAAAACACAGCTATTAAGAATTGTTCAAAAGGTTCAGTAATATAATTCTTAAATTATAAAAAGTATACAAGATATTAACTCAATATGTCTAATTAATGGAAAAGCAATGAACAAAATACCGCCAAAGTTGATCGATTTTTAATGAAAACAGACAAAACCTCATAATCTACCGATCTTTCAGACTTGAATGTGTGTTATTTACTCAAGTCAATCATAATTTCATATTGAGGCTCCTACACGGTAGGTGTCGGGTACCACCTACAATAGGGATGATTGACGATTTTTTTACCCAAGTGAATGACCGCAGATGCACAAATAATGGCCAGTGGATATTGGTTGCCGTAACGCTTTCTCGTAATCTTTCAAAATGAAATTTCCAATACCTACCTAAGTATAAAAAGAGCATCGACTATTTTATTATATCAATTATGAACAGAAATCTAAATACACTTAGATAATGTATAAAAAATTACAACGTATGTACTTATTTAACTTTAAATATTTTAGACCTCCTAATCCAACTTCCGGATCTCGACGACGATGGGGAAGTATCATCTGAAGAAGAAGCGCCTCTCTCTACAGGTACTGTTAAGCTATCACTTCTGGTTTGTCTCTCTACAGTTTCAGTTTCTTGATTGTCGGAGTTTATGGTAACAACTAAGCTTTGCCTACAAAGCGCGGAAACCGTATTCATTTTCTTCGAGTCCCGACTTTTACGCATTTTGACTTTACGAAACTTAGCCGCGATGTTAGACAACGATAATTTTCCTCCTAGTAAACCTTCCTTTTGTTTCTGAACGGTTCGAGGAAGCGAAACGTAACCTTCTTGGTGAAAAGCGGGATCGATTTGTCGATACGTGTCTTCGTCCACATTAATCATGCCCGCACTGGCCGACTTAACCAGTACGCCCTCATAAGGAGAGGAATCATAGCTGGATTCACTTCCCATGCTGAATTGGCTAAAACGACTTCTTCTGGGATAAGTGACGACACCCGCCATGTCGGGGAAGGTGGGCGGTGCGGAGCTGGGGTTTGGTGTGGAAGGCGAATTCAAGAAGTCTTCTTTGGCTTTCTTAATTTTACTGTGCCTAGTGTCGCAATTACTGATGTTAATTTCTGGAGTTTGTTCCGGAATCACTAGTCTAAGTGGTGGGTGTTTCGGAATTCCTTCAAATTTATTTTGGATGACACTGGCACTTGTTGATCGAAGAATTCCCTTAGACGCGCATAGTGGACTAGGACTTACTGAAACTCCAGCAAATGAGCCAGTTGTGCTTTCTAATGGCAAATAATTGATACTCGCCGACTTTTTAACCTCGGGACGATTGCAGTCCCTACGCACCTCCTCCAAGTATCGATCGCGTTGGGCTTTGACTCTCCGTTCACTTACAGGTGATCGCCAAGCAACTGGCGAAGCTGATCCACTGCTTCCAGCCGATCGGTGATTTGCAGGTACCTCTTGTTGCGATATTAATTGATTGTATTTAGCTAACATAAATCGTATTCCCGGCGAAATTTCCTTGCTCAACTTCCTTTGAAATGTAGGCGACTGCGGTAAGGGCGGAAGCCGAGTATTTGCACTGGCAGAACTGGCACTTTCTGTACTTTGAGTGAGCTCGGTGCAATTTGAACTGGAAGATGATTGACTAGTGATCGTAGGCGAAAACACTTTTTTCGTGGTTTTCACTAGCACATCCGCAGGTTTACAGTCGAACGATATCCCATCAGAAATGTTAACATAATTTGGCTTAGTAGGAATTATAAGCCTTTCTACAACTGATGGATCGACAGTTATAGAATTTGCCGCCCGTTTTGAACGCAACAACTTTTCCTGTGTATCGTGACCGTCGCTATCTTCGCTTTCACAAACCGTCTTGCTGCAGTAATCCTTTTTTCTGTACCTCATACGTCTGAAACTTAAATTATCATCATCCGTGTGTACTTGGGGCTCGCCGTTGTCACTATTATCCAAACATTTTTGTTTCACTTTCTTCAATTTTCGATTGGGGGCCGTTTTATCTATCAGGATTGGATAGGTGTACTTTAACATCTTCAAATGCTTACTCACCGGAAGCTGCGTAGAAATAGCTTAAAATCCTCTTCAGTTCGCAAAGCTTCGATGTAAGCTCCGAAGTGACTGCTGTTATATTGGAATACGAAAAATCTTCGAAGTCAAAAAATGATGAGCTGTACTCTTCCTCATTTCTGCGACACAATGTGTTTTGTAATTGTTCCACCTACAAAAAATATTAATTCTTGCAGTTTTAAAATCAGAACCCACAATTTGAAATAGGTCGGCAAACAGATCTTGACTCGCTTCTGTTATATTGGTGAAATGAGAATTAGATAAATCGACCTCTCCATCTACGATCATGGAGATGTTTTTTGAGTGCAACTCTTGCAATTGTATCAAATATTCCAGAATCTGTTCGCTTCCTTGGGTTTGCCTTTTATGCCTCTCCTTAAAAAATGAATTTTTGAGTGAAACAAGTTGGCGCAGTTCAACTTACTTTGCGTTTGTACAAATCTGGTGAAGGGGATTGCTCGGAGTCTGCTTGGTTTCCTTCTATTTCGACTTCGAACATTTTCCTAGAAAATTAAATTTGTCTAAGTAAATGCGATCATGTGTAGTAAATCGTTTTTTTACCATTTAACAAATGACATAATTGATTTGGTCATTTGGGATATTTAAAAGTAAATGCCCAGTTTAAAATTGATGCGTTTTGTAAAAGGAGATGTTAGGTGCCTCCCTCCCCGTTCTAACGATTCTAAGGAGAGGCCGACTAAGAAAAAACCACATATCTGAACCGGGATCGGGACGGTCATCGGTTCAAGAGGGGGAGATTTTTACACCCCCGTTTTAACCTAACACCTCAAACTCCCTCGAGAGCGAACCACACGACGGAACCAGCATCAAATACTAGACACAATTCCCGCAAGAGGGCGCCGGCAGATAAATAAGCATCTCTTCATAAGAATCTATCCGTGCCACCAGTGCATCGCTTTATTAATTAAATAGGTGATATACTCGTACAGTGGTATAGTTATTAAGAAATAGACATAGCGATTTAGATGTATTGTTTTTCCCTATGTTTACTTTTAAATGACAAAATCTCTTCTGAAGGACGCCTAATTTTATGCATCCAAAATAACTTCTTAAAATAAATAAAGATCAGACTGTCATATTAATTAATTTGAATATTGTTGCTTTGGCTTCACAAAAAATAAATCTCTTAAACTACTTAAACTGTTAACGGCACTATGCCAATTGAGAATTTGAACTTTTTCTTTAGTTGAATACATCGCATACGTACAAAAATTAAAATACGCAAGCCAAAGCAACAATATTCAAATTAATTAATATGGAAAGTTATTTTGGTTGGATGAAATTAGGCGCCCTTCAGAAGAGCTTTTGTCTTTTAACAGTAGACATAGGGAAAAACAATTACACGTAAATCTCTATTTGTATGTATGTAATTGTGTTTCCCCCAGTAAATAGTTTCCCCTTTAGAATAGTGTGTAATTAAAATACGTATTCTTAACAAGGAGACGTACTGTGCGGTTACGCATTTACCCCCCAAAACCCACCAAACCACCACCAATATATCGAATTTCAGCGTGTAAAGAGAATTATTTTGGATATTCGCTTGTTGGTGGCATGTTTTACATTCGTACAGCGCTTATCGGTTATGCATTGCAACATTGGGGGGCTACTACCCTATACTTGCATAGGGTTAATAGGCTCATTCCCACGACGTTCCAAATGTCTTGTCTACCTTTCCTCATCAGTTACTTTATTTTTGTTACACTATATTGTATTTAATGAGAAATCATGATACTTTCGATTGTTGAGAAAATTCTTCCCGAAAATACCTCTACAACTAATCTCATCTCCGGTAGATTCGCTTTTAAAATATAGCACCTTCGCATACGAAAGATTGTATCTTGGAAGATTTCCCCCAAAAGATTTGAATCGGGAAGTTTTGTCTCTGGAAAATTCGCCCCTGGAAGATTTGTCTTCAAAAGATTCTCCCTGGAAAATAAGCCAATTCCAATGGAATCACCGGAAATTGCGCTCATGGAGGATGATTATTCTTTTACAAAACTTACTTAAGACCGAATTTATCATTTTTCGTAAAATTGGGGGCAGGTTAACACAAAATGTTTCCCTGTTTGAGTGAGAAGGGTAGAAATACGTACGGGGGGTACGGGGTCTTCAAAAGATTTGCCTCGGAAGATTCACCATGGAAGATTTCTACCGATGTAATATGGCGGACAAGTGGGAACCAAAAACTGAGAGTTGCAAATAGAACTTATCGACGACTTCAAAGGAACATATCAGAAAAAATTCACAGGGCGAAGGTGAAGGGGGCTTGAACATAAAAGATTTTTGATGGCCGCTTACAAATGTTTGTGATTCTTAAAAGATTGGCCAATAAAATTTGATTTTCACCAGGAGAATAGTTAGTTACGTAGCCACGTATCTCCCTAATGTGATAGTTAAGTGTATCTTGTATTTTTGACTCGATTTGTATGCAGTTATTCTTCCACAATTTACTTTTTCCATGACCCGCTATACATTCTCTTTAGAATACGATTTAGTTCTATCGCTTTTTCTCACGTATGTTCTTCCCCTTTTAACTGGTTACCGCAGTATGCGAATTTTCTTCTATTTAATCTGAGCATGATAAGAACAGATGGTCCAGAACAAAAATCCAGTCGCAACCATCCTAAGAAACTATTGACGTATAGTATGAAGTGGCAGCAAGATTTACGTGACGTTGCCGGTCCGTGACGTGTCGACCTTTACACTTCCGTTTCGAGGTGTACGAAGTTATGAATTTTTTTTTACAAACTGGAAAGAGTACACTCAAAAATATTAGATTTATCATTTTGTGTTTCGCTTAAAAGAAAAAGATTGATAATTAAATTTATTTTGACTCCCTTCACCCTCCTCCCACTCGCTTCTTTTGGACGAAAAAAAAGTTTCTCATAATCTATTAAAAAATCAGAATTATAACAAGAAAAAAAGTTTATATTAAAAAAAAGAACTGAAATAAAATTATTAAAAATGTCTATTTCTTTTTATTTTTAAAAAGATTTCTACGAAAGCGTAAAACCATTGAATAAAACTTATTCAATGGTAAAACGGACAAGCTAGTTCAAATTATGTAATCCCGAGATATAAGTCGGGACTATACGTAATCCCGAGATATAAGTGGGGATTATACTTAAGTATACGAAGCGCTGCGTTACAGATCTTACGAGAGCCGACTATCGATGGTACCTTTCGGAAGGATAAGACGATATGGTGAAGCTCCTGGGAGCGAGTTTCCCCCTGATACTGCCCCCCCCCCCCTGAGGACAACCATTCCGACCTACTACAGGAGCTTTTTTTGGAGATGAAAGTCCTATAAACAAGTTTTCTTGGAGCTAAATTTCCGCACGGTGAATATTCCGCCCGCCAATCCTCAGGGGCCAAATTTTCTAGGGGCGAATTCCCCGCGGCGAGTTTTTGAGAACCAATTTATTGGTGTTAGTGTTCCGGTAGCTAATTTTTTATTTTATATAGACTTTGAATCGATGATAAAAGTCACTTGTAACAAAAATGATACAAGAAGAATTTACGGACGAAACTGTAATAAACCTGTCTAAAATAAATTTACCGCCTATCTTCTTGTGGTCACCTTGTAGAGTTCCTATTGGAATAACGCACAAAAAATCAATTTTAAAGTTTTGTATCAAATTTGAATTTTTTTGGTAAAAAAAGTTTCCCACAGGATGAACTTTTTCTTTCAAGATTTAATGATTTCGACGAAATTGCAAATTATCTTCCAAAAAAAAAGGATGAACAAAATGATTTTTTCAGAGTTAGCAAAACAGCACCAATTCAAACAGGGAGCTTACTTTTGAACGTCCCTTTATAACCTGAAATGAAGCGTAAAATATTTACCTCTTCTCATTTTCCTCCTCATCTATTCCTTTTACGAGCTTCAACACTTTATCAATTAGTGCAAAACTTGGTTGACCGCTGTCGAAATGGATCGACTGCACGTAAGGAACCACACAGGGTTGTTTTTTGCTGAAACAATCGAATTACTCTTACAATCGCAAGTTTGTCTCTTACTAACCATATACTCAAGGCATTTTCCCGTTGGTACACCGCAAAGTGTTTCTCCTGCAACCGCTCTTCCAGAAGATCTGCGGTTTCTTCTTCCACATCTTCGATTTCTACAATGACAGCCTCGGGTTCATCATTCCTAAGCTTCTCGGAGGATGTGTCAATATCTTGCATGGATGAGCCTCTAGACAACGACATTTGTTTCTCCAATTCATCAACGTCGTTGAGCGAAAGGCTCGAGGGATGATGACTCGCTGGACAACTCTGTATTAAATTTTTCGTGGAAACGCTTTCGGCAGATTTCGATCTTATAATTCTGGATTTGTTGTACTGAACCACTTCGGCTAAAATAGCCAGTTTAACAACAGCATCACAACGATCAGTTTACCTTTAGGCGTGTCAGTTTCGTAGTAATCGACGGTGATGTGCGGTTTAAACGTGGACGATATCAGCGCAAAAGTCGATGCTTCGGGCCCGATACCTTGCGCTTTCTCCCACTGGCATAGTTTCTGTGTAAATTTTCTGGATATACCCTCGAACTTGTAAAATCCCGAAGGAGTGTGGATTAAAACGTCTTTCTTGTTTCCCTCGCCCATCACTGTTCGGCGCAGTTTTGCTAACCTAAAAAAATAAAGATTAGATAGCGCTTAAATGGATAGCAGTACTTTTCTTCGCGTTGCAAAAATTTATTGCGTTCTTCTTCCAACCTTCGTTTCTCCAGTTCGATTTTATTCAATTCCTTTTCAAACCAGTGCAGTTCTTTTTGATCTGCGTATTTCGGTTGAATCGAAGTGGAAGACTCGCATTTTCTTTTAATGCGGGGACTCGGTGTTTTTTCCTTGGCTTCGTTGTGCTTACTAAATTCTTTAATTTTACGCCATTCCTCAAGCTTTTTAATGAATTCGTCTGAAAGTGGCGCACTTCCTGTCACTTCGGGCTCTTCTCGTGTTCCACTGATAGATTTCCACTTAGGCCACTCCCCAATTTTCTTTTTAGGTTTAGACGTTGAAGCGCAATCATCTTTAGTGGAATACTTCTTAATTCTTTGCCACTCTTCCAATTTCTTCTTAAACTCGGGCGCCAAGTTTTCTTGTCGCATCATTTGCACGCTTTGACTGGACCGCGATGGTTGGCCTTTAATACGTTGCCATTCCTCCATTTTTTTAATAAAAGCATGATCCTTCTGATCTTCACCTATATCAGATTTACCAATTGCGTTTGTAGTAGTTTGTGATTTTAGTCTTTCCCATTCGTGCAGTTTACCCTGAAATTCGATGCTTAACTTTTTTTGGAGTTGCCTGTAGTTTTTCTGGATTTCTTCATGAATTCTTTTATTATCGTCAGTTTGTTTCAGGAAGCGGTTATCTAAAAAGAGTTTTATTACACTCTCACGCCAGAACTAAAAATATAAATAACTTTATTATTAAATATGAATCGGTCAAATCTGTTTTAAAGACTACTTGGTTTTAATCATTATGAGAAGTATCATAAACTTAATGGAAATTCCTACCTTTATAGCTAGCTAATGTTGAATTTTTGTGAGTATTTGTGGATGAGTGATGATTCGATGGGGTCAAAAACGCTTTCTTTACCATTTTCCACTTAGATGTTGGCTTGGATGATATATGCTGCTTATTCTGCTGCTAAAATAATCGATTATTAGAGGCTGAATTTATAACTTAGGTATTTACAAATTCATTTTCAGCAAGCGCTTGTTTATATCTTTCAACAATAGCCTCAGGTATGTCCGCATTCTCACAAGCTTCTGTCGAGTTTTCGTAACCGGACTTGATATTTTCGTTATGATCCCGAATTTCATCATGTTCTACGTCAATTTTTAAATCATCACTTCTTAGGCTCAATCTGTTTCTATTTTGAGGATCGATAGGCGATGATCTTGTGTTCCGTGTTTTAAACCACGATGCTCGCGATGAGTTAGTCGATTCCTGAACATTATTGTCATGCTATTTATATCAAGTAATGTCTTAAGTAAGAATTTACCCTTGAAAAGTGTTCATCGTCCAAGTTAATACTGTGGTGGTCATCGTCCGAAATTTGGTGATCTGAAATAGGAATACGATTACATTTTACAACTGATAAACAATTTATTGATGTTTAATTAATGATAATTAGACGTGAACACTACATTTCATGAATATGTTTTTCGAAAAACACGGCGATTTGTGGATCTGGATTACCTACTATAATATAATTACCATTAACAATAACAAAACTGTACATCGATGATATACTGTGTGTTTTCAGGATATGTATGTGCACTAGGAACACCAGCAGTTATTTATTGAGTGGTAGTTGACAGTACTTGCGAGAATCGTATTGTCCATATAGTTGCGATTATGATTTGAGTTGTTATCTTTTAAACTGTGCAGTTCCTACTTGCTTTGTTATTGAAAGTAACGAAAGCACAAAAATTAAAATAACTAAAACTTGTTTTCACAAAGATTTACGTGAAACTTACTTATTTTTCAGCGAAATCATACGTTCGGAAGCTTGCCGAGAAACTTTGGTGCCTAAATATTGATTGTGGGCAAATAAAGAGCGCGTATACCAAAATGAGTATTACGGGTGGACGGACAACAATAAAACAATTGCAGTTATCAACACTTGGTTGATCTAGGGATCTGAAATTTAGTAGCCTCTTTTGACTATTGACTATAAGCAATATGGGTGTCCTTGACATGTGAATAATCGTGTTTTTCCAAATTTTGTTGACAATATTCGGTTTATTCCAGATTTTTTAGGGCGTTTATTGTATTTACCCGAAATATTATATTTTTATACTAATCTATCATGGAGCCTCGATGTCTATCAGTATTTCTAGAATAATCACTACAACATATTGAAAGGTCCTATATATGTAATTGCCATTTTTAAACAAATTAAGAGTTAGCTACAATACTTTAACAAAATATTTGGACGTGTACACACACCATGATTTCATTTTGTAATTTTCAACCACAATCATATCACCTTATTTTTTAATTTTTTTTAAATTTTGTCCGTAGTACAACTTAAATTTTGGGTATAAAAAAAACGATATATTCCCCCTTTTCCAAACCCATTAATTATAATTGCGAATCAGTTTCCGACCATATTTTCCCAATCAACCCACGTAGTTGGGTGCCCATAGTTAATAAATCGCAAGTCTAACGGCATTTAATGAGCCATTTTGGAAACGTGCTTTTATAAGGGTAAAAATGTCTGCTGAACCCGAATTCGGATGTTGCTAATCTGATTTTTGGCTAATTTCAAAATGGCGGCCAATATGGCGGCCAAATATATAAATTTTTATGCCAGACGCATTTCACATAGTTTTTCGGATTGAGGTGTTAAAAAACATACAGGAGGCACAGAAAATTGCAAAACTTATAAATTGGGTACATTATACAGAGAATATAGAGATAATTAATTAATTTTTTGGTACTACGTTTATCGAATTCAGAAGGAAGCTGATGTAACACAATTTATTAGAATCGATGAAATTTATCGTTCTTTTTATCAATTAAAATGCATTTGATTTTTATTTGAAATATTTTTTGTTAAGCTTTTCAGTAATTTTGATTTATAATCACACTTCATTTTGTTATTTCATATTGTTATATGATATTATGTTGTGTATTTTTTTGTAAAAATGGTATTTCTGCTAAACAAATAAATAAATAAATAATTCTGACGGCAAATGTATTATATTTCAAAAATTTTAACGGAACTTAAATTTCTTCATCATCCTGCTCATTTTTTTTACCATTGAAGCAGTCGCCAAGGCACTTGCAGATATTTGTGCACTTTTAGTTCATAGCATAATTTATTTAGAGCCAAGTTTTTAGGAGGGCTAGTCTGAACATTCGATTTTTCAGTTTCTTATCGCATTTGCGAGACAATATGTATGGTAGAAAATGTCCCCGGCCACAGGATCATGAGAAGATGCAACTGTACGCCCTTCCGTACCCACTGCACCTAATGTAAATTTCCATAAGAGCGCCCGCCAAAAAAAGTTGTTTTTCAAAAAAAAATTTTTTTAAGAACTATTTTATAAATTTAGACCTTTATCTACAAAATGTTCGGACTATTTTTCTTAAAAAGTTTATAGCAACGGAATACCGATTGTTTAAAGATTAGATGATTTGGACCGATTATTGCGGTAATCTGTTTTATTTTCTTGCTCTCGATCAAGACGATTTATGGAAAAAGTAAACCGACAGTTTTCTAAATAAGTTACTTCTATACATTACCCCAAAAAAATGAAATCATATTTTTTGTAAATAAAGTCTGTATCTTGGCGGACGGTAAATCAACAATTTGAATGTAGCAAGTGGCGCCGCTGCACAGTGTCGGCGGGAACTAACTAAGGACCAAGACAGGAGTTGACAAAGCAAGAATATCATGTTGTCTCTTGCAACTATAATCATCTATACACTATAATGTAAAAAAGTTGCGCTTAAATTTTAGAACACCAGAATTTTACAGGTGTGAATTTCGGATATACTTGACATTTATATTAGTACCTAATTGTAGGTACTTATTATAAATTTTCATTCTGATAGTTGGAAAAAACCTAAATACTTAACAACGGGTTTTAAAAAGTACAAAATTTAATAACAAACAAAATTTGCCGAGGAAAATTAAAAACACTAATTTAATTAATTCACAGCTTTTTTGGGACACTCTATATATCACCACAGGATGTATTTTCCTACATTTTTCTGAACTAGCTATGAAGTTAATTAACCAACTCTTACGTACCTATATAAGTAATAAATTATGGAAAACAATTTAATACTAAATAGTACACAATACAATAGATAGTGGCTCCATCGTGCTGTATTTGTGAACTAGTGCAAAATTCGGCCTGGCAACATCCGGAATCGGATTCAGTACATTTTTTTACACCTAAAAAACCATATGGCCAAGATGGCTCAAAAAATGCCGTTAGAACTAAGAAACAGAGTCGTTTTTCGATTTGGCCACTTAACTAATGGAATTTGTCGACTCTGGTTATGCCTCTGTCACTAGACCAATTGTGCATTGCATCTTATTTTTAGGGAACGAAAGACACTTATATCAAGTGGCTGAGGCAAATGGCTGGAATGTGGTGAAAGTGGAAGTGATAGCAGTCGATCATCCACATCGGACACACGACCATCATATATTACCAGGACCGTTCTGGCATCACCCGTTTCTTTCAGGAAACTCTTCTCTGAATATTTCGAGAAATTGTTATACTCATTGGCTGCCATTGCGTGCGTAGTTCCAGGAAAGTCTTTACCCTTGGGAGCAACCCATCTATTCCAAATATTTTTCCCTTTGTATATTATTAAGGGGGGAGCTTTATGACCCGCGGCATTTGCGACCATTAGAACAGTAATGTTGTTCCTTCTGAATCCTGCTGTGGTTCTTTAAGATGCAGTTCCTTTCTTTCCCACAACTTTTACCTTGGACAAATCAAGGCAAAATCCTGATTCATCCATGTTACATAATGAATAAAATTGTGGTTTATCTCTTAAATCCAAGTCATTTATTGTTTTACTAATAAGTCAAAATACTGACCAATAATAAATGGCCCCATACATTTATTTCTGGAAATCTCAACTGACTGGAGCTTTTTAATGGATAAATCATGACTCTTCATAAATCCAAGGAACCAGTCTTCTCCGGGAACACCATTTTTAAAAGGCGTTTTAAATTTATTACGCGCGACATAATCACCCACAATTCTTAAAACTTCCAGCCGGTATAATCCCCATCCGCACTTTTACATTGTTGTGATACCCTCCACTAATTGGCCTTCCACCTATAGTGAAAGAGCTTAGGATCTGCTGAACGTATTGATTTTTTTGCCACGTATCTCCCTAATGTGATAGTTAAGTGTATATTGTGTATGTTTGTAATTATTCTTCCACTATTTACTTCTTCCGTGGCCAGCTTTAAATTCTCTTTATACGATTTAGCTCTATCGCTTCTTCTCACATATGTTTTTCTCATTTTAACTGGTTACTGCAGAGTATGCTAATTTTCTTCTATTTAATCTGAGCATGATAAGGTCCAGAATAAAAATCCAATCGCAACCATCCTAAGAAACTATTGACGTAAAGTGTGAATTGGCAGCAAGATTTACGTGATGTTGCCGGTCTGTGACGTGACGTTGACTGTTCGTAAAATACGAATCGACCTTTACACTTCCGTTTCGGGGTGTACGAAGTTTTGAATTTTTTTTACAAAACTGGAAAGAGTACACTCAAAAATATTAGATCCATCATTTTATGTGTTTCGCTTCAAAGAAAAACATTATTTATTAAATTTATTTTGACCCCCTTCCCCCTTCTTCCACTCGCTTCTTTTAGACGTGAAAAAAATTCTCATAATCTATTAAAAAATCTTTTTGAAACTTCGAATATTCAAAATCAGAATTGTAATAAGAAAAAAGTGTATATTAAAACAATGAACTGAAAGAAAAAATTATTGATTTATGTATTTTTGAAGGTACCCTCAAATATGAGAATACTCTTTGATTTTGTTATAGTTGTCGTAATTGGGTTGCCATCAGTATAATCTGTCACAACCTTGTAGTTGTAGAATTGTTGTGACAGTTAGCATTTAGAAACAATTTTCCAGGTCCGGACTGGGCCTATTCTTTTTTATTACGACATATAATTTAAATATTATTAAGGAAAATCTTAACAATATTCAAAAATAGGATTTATAAAATGAACCTTGCATTCAAAGAAAGATTTTTATTTCATTTGTCTTTATTTTTAAAAATATTTCTTAAAATCATTTATATGATTTTCAAGAAAGTTCACTCTATCTATCCCACAGATATTTTTTATAAAATTATTTTGAATACATCCAAGAAAGTTTTGAAATTACTGCCAAGGTTTTCGAGACCCCCAGAAGATATTTTAAGAAGCTTTCTAGGGAGAGCTTGAGTATGATGTGATGTAATGAGAATTTTGAAAAATTTTTCTAGAAGAATGCTTGAGAAAAAATCTTGGACTTCCGAAATATGCAGAAAGGTGTTTAGTAAAATTGTAGGAGGATTTAC